TAAACATTCATTTCTGCATTTCCCAGTGCAAACTGTAACAGCCTGGGCTTTTTCTGCTGTGTTCAGCAATGTGAGATTCAGTGTGTTAAAAGTTTCCATTAAGTTCTTTGCTCCCACTTATGAGCATTCCTCTTACTTAGTTTGCTTCAACTGGTTGACTTTCCTTTGGTTGTGCTAATTATGGTCTTTAATATTCCCCAAAATATCATGGTTCTAACAAAAGACCTAATTACATGATAGAAATTAGTCTGAAAAAAGTGCTGTATTTGTCACTGTGGAGAAAATCCTACAGTGTTGTGATGAACAGCATTAGCCCATTGCAGAGCACCAGTGTGTACTGTACTTGTGTGATGTGTAACGTTAACACTGAAACAGAACCTTCCATCTGCGATACAGTGTTTTTACACTCTGGCTGTGTGTTAGAATCACACAGAGAGTCATTGTAAAATGCCAGTGCCTGAAATTCCACGAAGAAGTTGCGTTCACTTTTCTAGTGTGTGAGGCTGCTCTGCAGAAAGAGAACCTTAGAAGTTATACTCCAAGACGTTCCTGGGAACCAGTGTACAGGGCGTGTGTGTGTGTGTGTGTGTGTGTAAGTCAGAAGGGCTTGGGCAGAACTGAAATTTAGGAATAACCACATGGGAAAAGAGGGAGTATTGCAAGCCTCTGTTTTTCTGGCATGGATCGGGGCTGCAGGAGTGGTATGAAGTTACAGGTATCATGATCCCTGGGACTCTAGGTCCTTCAAAGATTATTTCATGTTCCCAGGACATTTTGTTATTCTCACAGCTTGAGAGACAGTGAGAGAGAGAGCTCACGTCTGCTAGCTCACACCCCAGTTACCTGCAAGCACTGGGACTGGGCTGAGATCAAACCCAGGAGCTAGGAACTCAATCCAGGTCTTTGTGTGGGTTGCAAGGACCCAGTTGCTCAAGCCATTTCTGTTGCCTTTGCTTTGGCAGGAAGTTTGAAGGTCGAGTCAGGAGCCTGAACAAGACTAACCCTAGGAATTCTGATGTGACAAATGGGCTTCTTGATCAGTGTTGCTGGTCTTTACCTGCTAGACTAGCCACCTGCCCTGAGCTCTGGCTATTACCTGTCATGGCTACAGATACCCACACGTGGGTGTTTACTTTTATTCCTACCTCCCCATCAACACTTGGCAATATTTAGTTCTTTAGGTTTTGCCTGTCTAATAGGTATAAAGTAAAATTTTAAAAGTTGTGTTTTAATGGGCACTTCTTTGATAAGAATTCTAAGGATTTTTCTCATGCTTCATTTCTTTCCTTGTCTGTAAATTGTTTCTTCATGCCATTTACCTATTATTTCCCCCAAATTTATATCTTTACTTTGCTGTTTTTCAGGAGTCCCTAATTTATTCTATACTGCCATGTGCATTTAACATTACAAACACTTCTCATTCTGTTATTTCATACATCATCTTTGCATATTATTTTTCACTGAGTGGAAATGTTTAGTTTGGAGACTCAAAATCCAGTCAGTTTTAAATCTAAGGATTTATGCTTTTAAACTTATCTTGGAAGTCCTTTTCTATCCTTAGGGTCGTAAAGATACTTTCTTGGGGCCAGCACAGTGGTCCAAGCTAGCTAACCCTCTAGCTGCAAAAGCCAGCATCCCATATGGATGCTGGTTCATGCCCCAGCTGTTCTTCCTATCCAGCTTCCTGCTAGTGGCCTAGAGAAGCAGTGGAAGCTTTGGGCCTTGGGACCCTGCACCTGCATGGGAGACCCAGAAGAAGCTCTTGGCTCAGGATCACTCAGCTCTGGTACCCATTTGGGCAGACAACCAGAACATGGATGATCTTTCTTCTATTTCTTTTCTGCAAATCTTCCTTTCTAATAAAAATTAAATAAGCCTTTAAAAAAAAGATACCCTCTCGCCTTATACTCTATTAATAGACTGATGGAGATCTTGCATCACTGGAGTGCTTCCTAAATGCCTGCAACACCAAGGGTTGGATGCCTACAACAAACCAGGAGGCAAAAATGCAATTGAGGTCTTTCACATAGGTCGCAAGTACCCAGGTACTTAAGCTATCACCTGCTGCCTAGGAGGGTGTGTGTTAGAAGTAGAACTGAGGACTGGAACTGGAACTTGAGCCCAGGCATTCCAATAAAGGACACAATGTCCCATGCAATGTCTTAACAAATAGCTACCCATTGGCTATCTTTATTATCTCAAATTTAAAGGAAGCCAGTTTGAAAGTCGGAGTTGGGATTAGTCAGTGACTGGACTGAGATCAAAATCCAAAAATCTGAGTTCCCCGTTTTGTTCCTCTCCTTACAGTGCTGTACTAACTTTCAGCAATGCTTATATCCTTAAACCTCTCTATCCGAGGTGTCATTACACTTCAAGGTTTCTGATAGTATATATTTCTATGAACCTTTTTTTGTTGTTGTTGTTGTTGTTCCGTTTTACTTGAAAGGCAGATTTACAGAGAGAAAGAGAGAGAAAGATGGCCTACCTATTGGTTCACTCTCCAAATGTCCGCCAGGGCCAGAACTTAGCTGATCTGAAGCCAGGAGCCAGGGGTCTCTTCCTTGTCTCCCACATGAGTGCAGGGTCCCAAGCACCTGGGCCATCCTCTGCTGCTTTCCTTGGCCACAAACAGGAAGTTGGATGAGAAGTGGAGCAGTCAGGACATGAACTGATGCCCATTTGGGATGCCAGCACTTGAAGGTGGAGGGTTAACCTGTTGAGTCATGGTGCCAGCCACTACAACCATTCACAAGGTACCTTCAGGGCAAGTGATTCCAATTCTATTCCCCTCTACAATTTGTGCTTTAACTTAATTTATGTCTCAGTAATTCCATATTATCTTGTGAGATATTCCCAGCTTTCCAAAAATATTACTAAAATATATTGTATCCCTTTTATGTTGATGTTTTCATTAATTAGTTTAATTATGGATTATGTAGTATGCCATATCACTAGAAATAGAAGCTTAGCTTTGCAAATTTTAAATGAATTTATCTTATTAAGAAAACTCTACTGGACTTTGAATTTACCAGTTAGGAGAGAAACTTTACATCCTTACAAGTTCAACTAATCCAAGAATTTAGAGAATATATCTATATATTTGGAGCATTTTTATGTCTTTTACTAGACTTTTTTCGTAGGGATTCTGTGTACTTGACCATTAATTTATTGGATGCTGTATAACTTTGTGTCTTTGAAATTGATCATTATGATCCTTAATGTAGTTAGTTTAGACCTGTCAACATTGGTGAATGTCCTGATGTTATACTTCCTGCTTCCATTGCTTTATTTCTAAGTATATTACCACGCTGTCTACAAACAATGGTAATTCTATCTCTTCCCTTTGATTATCACTCTGCTTATTCGCTAGTCCTATTTTCTAGCAATGGCCAGGATTTTCAGTTTTACTTTAAACAACAGATATGATGAAACCAAGAATCCAGCTTTCTTGGTGTTGGAGGCTAAACAATGCAGCCTCTTCTAAGCTGGCCAGGGATAATCCAGGGGAGGGTAAGGCCCTTGCATTGAATTCTCTTTGTCTTCCCTCTGCAACTCTCTCTATTCCATAGTCGGGTAAACTGTAATCTCATGTAGTAAGTATGAGGGTTGGGGACCCAAAAAATCACTATTATATCATCCAAACTCTAGTATGTTGTACATGTATGTATGCGTGCACACATACACACACATACACACATATATGTGTATATACATTTCTGGTTTTTTCCCTGTGTTCTAGGCTTTGAAACTTAAAATGTGGTCATTGGCAATAACATTTTGTAGGGTCATTCTTCCTTGGAAGCAATGCAAGCTACAAAGTCTTAGTGTCTGTACCACAAAGAGTTAATGAGCTAAGAAGTAAAAAATTTTCCTGCTAAAAATTTTTCAGGAAACCCTCTCTCTTACTGAACAGTATTATTTAGGGCATGAAGAGGTCTGTCTAGTTCCACAGAAAAAGCCACAAACAGGGAGGGCAAGGACTCAGGGACAGGTTCCCATTAACAACTGACTGACAGCTGCCCTGATTTGTGACCAGGAAAACACAGCTATTCATTCTCATCAAACTAAGTTTGGGTTGCTCTTCAAATCAGGACTTTAGAATTGTGTAACTCACTTCAAATTCCTTAGGGACAAATCTACTGAAGATGACCTAGCTGGAGCTGAGCAAATTCACCAGGGAAGCAAGCTAAAAGCAATGGAAAATAGCATCTAGAGGCCCTATCTCATGGTGCAAAGCCAAGCTGAACTGTAGTACTTGGAGATGGGTATCAGTACAAATAATGTTCTTATTACAAAGAAACCCATCAACCTTGCCCTAGAGTAACTTCTCAGATTTCTCAGGTCCTGATTTGTGTGTGTCTGTGCTGCAAGTTTGAGGAGGATTTGGGGCACTTTATGATGCCAGCTCTTGGTTTTGTTTGTGGGCTGGCATTCCTGGGTGGCAGAATATGCCTAGCACCATTAGATAAAGAGAAGAACTGTAAGAAGTTGAACATTAGCTTTTTTCCACTCTGCGCTGAGACTCAGAATTGCCTAACTGCAATCACCAAGGGGCTCTGGTTGATCTGGGGATCTGACTGGCTACAGCCCAGTCATATGTCTGACTGTTGACATAATGCTGGAGTTCTAGATCAAAAATTGAGTATTCTGGCTTCCTGCTACATTATTACTTACTTGGCTTGAAAATTGATGGATAAATGTTAGCACACTCTGCTCCATCATTTTTTTTTACAGATTTATTTATTTATTTTTTTTATTGGAAAGGCAGATATCCAAAGAGAAGGAGAAACAGAGAGAAAGATCTTCCATCCGCTGATTCACTCCCCAAGTGGTGGCAAAGGCTGCAGCTAAGCCAGTATGGGAAGTAGAGCAGCTGGGTCACAGACTGGTGCCGGTGTGGAAATATGGTGCATGCAAAGAGAGGACTTCAGCCACTAAGGCTACCATGCCAGGTGCTGCTCCTTCGCATCGAACCATAAAAAGAGCCATAATCACATGTGTTGTTTTTTTTATTATTTATTCACAGTTCCAACTATCAAACAATTACAGACTGACTTTTATACCAACATGTAAACTTCTTGGAGGAGCTGGAGACTAGAGCTCACAATAGAGTGCTCTGTGAAATATGGTGCCGATGAGCATTTTGCCTTGGTACACAGAAGCCACAGTGGAGCCCTGAAGCACAGAGCCATCGTTGATGTACACGGGGCTCACCTTGGGCTCGTCCGACAGAGCACCGTGGATGCGAAGCACCTGTCAGAGAAGATGGCTCATTATACACTCTACGTGCAAATCCCTGTCCAGCCATGTCTTTCTTCCCAAATATTCCAATACCACCATGTTTTAGAAGTTGACAAGCTATGTATGATGTAGATCTCATCAATAGCTTGTTTTCTTCTGATATAAGTACTAATGTCCTAATATCTATGTGCTAGATAAACTGGTTAGCTAATATTAACCAAATTCCTCAACAGGTAGCTTATAGCTTACATAACTTCAGCAGTTCATTCTTTATACATGAAGGTGGGATCCAGTGGGTATTCATATCCAATTCTTGAGTGAACAATAATCCTGCTTCTATAGGAAGGGAAGAAAATACAGGGGGGGAAATGGTCATGGTACACTCACTTAGAGACTCGCAGAGTGGAACTGGTCATGGATGAACCCTCCCAGACCTGCAGAGTGGCTGGGAAGCACACAGAAGGCATGCTGCTCTGAAACTCTACCTCACGCCTCCCTGCCATGGACAATGAATGATTTCCATGACTAGCCCAATAGGCTTCGTTCGTTACTTAGTTTTAAGCAATCATGTTTCCAAATAATCGGGATCATATTCATTCCAAAAGAACTTGAGAGGAAATGAAAATATTCAGAAATTCACGAGTTTCTACTGACATTTTTAAAAATTAGAATTGGGTTTTGCTTTTTTTAAAGAAAAAAATACCTAAAGAGCCTAAAATTTCATCTCAGATTTGCTGTACGCACACACACGAAAATGCTTCAAACCTAGATCTCACATAGCAAACACGAGGCTCAGCCAAAGGAAAGACATCTGGTAACTGTGACAGCAGAAATATTATCTAAAATAAACAAGGGTTAGACTTGAAAATGAAGATCTGAGAACAGATTCTAAACCATTTCAAACCATCTAAGGATAACAGTGTCTTCCCAGGGGACAGACGTTGTGTTTGAACTTGAGCAGAGAGGTTCTCTCTTTGGGGAAGCACCTGTGTGGGCAAGGTCAGCTTGCTGCCATAAGGGAACCATTTTTCACCTGGAGGCCCAGGCTGCATTTCTGTTTTCTTTTGATATTTCTTGGTGTTATTTTTTAAGAGATTGTGATTAATGTGTTAATTAAAAAAGAAGAAAGTCTTGTTTTCGAAACTAAAGAGCAGTGATATTCTTCAGCTGAAATGACTGTTTATGTTTTATTTTGCCCATTGGGCCTATTACCAGGCTAGGATTCAGATCTCAATTTTCCAGCAGCCCAAACCTGTATTGAAATGTTGTGTTTTTCATCCTGCTGCACCTTCTCCGTGAGGCCTCCTCTGATCATGGCACTTAATCATAGGACTTGCCTTCCCCTTGTTCACAGCAACCCTAATTCCCTTGACTTGATTGCACTGCTTTCCTCCATGGAACTTAAGATGCTTGGCCCCATTAAAAGTTTGTTATTTATTTTACTTATTATCACCATCTGCCTGCCACCAAGAGCAAGGGTCTTGGTATGTCTTATTGTCTAATATAGTCTAAGCAGCTAAAGTCTTGTCTGGTGAGTCATGCGAGTTCTCAATGTTTACGTGAGAAGGCGGTAAGATCTATTGGGTGCTCATATTTAATTTTTCAGTGACCAGTGACCCTGCCTCAGGGAAGGCAAAAAAACAGTAGAGAAAAAAAAAAAAGACAATATGGACCAAGAATTTAGAGCTCTAGCTAAATCCACCAGAGATCTTTTATTCCTAAATTCAGTCAGCAAAGAAACTGTAATGCTCCATGCTATTGTTTTTAGTGCCATAGAAAACTCGATGGTTTCTGTTACTGTTTTAGAAAAGATTTTTAAATAATACTAATAAAATCTTTTAAAAGAAATGTTCTTCAATATCACCTTATAGGAAAAACAAAACTGTCACTTGCTTTTAAGCTACAGTTATTTAAACCCGTTCCTTAGAAATTCATGCTGTGTGGTGTCAAAGAAAATGGCCCCACACTTGACTTTGTCCTTGCCTAACTGCAGGGTTTGCTCATAGTCTACCTCCTGGTTGGCAACACAATATGGCAATCTGCATCATTCTGAATGGTCAAGCTCATGATTTCCCATTATTTCCAGTGGCAGTTTCATCCCTTGTCAAGATAGAACATATCGTTTCACATTGATGCTAACTTGGCACCTGGTCTTTAGCACCTGTTCCTTTTTTGCACACAGAATTTATTTGGTTCTCCAACATAAAACAAGACCCAGGTAAATTCTTGCGAGTCAATTCAACAACTTGTTTGTTCTTATAGCTTTGTGAGCCCAGAGAAGGACAGACTTACTTCTGATCCTGGAGGATCCTCAGGGTTATAGTACAAAATCTTCATGGCATTAGGATGGCATCCTGCCAAGATGTCTCCAGTGGCAGGATCAACAGACAAGTTATCCACTAAGGTGCCCAAATGTATCACCTTCCAACAAAAAGGCAGTAGTAAAGTCATTTTCCCAATGGTCTTTGCCGTCCCCCTCTGCCACCTTCCACCACCATTGCCCTGTACCTGAAACTGGTTTTTAGGGGCCTAGGCTACAGTGTTCTAAAAGTGCAAGTGCGGTTTCACCAGGATTTCTCTAGAAGAATCATGTTTCCTTTGCTTAAGGAGCACATCCTCACATTCTCAGTTCAAGAGTGGAATAAACGTCAGAGACCATGTTGCTTGGGTGAGACCAGATGCTCTTACCTTCCGTTCAGTTAAATCCCAGTTCTCATGCCTTTCCATGACATGCAGGTTCCTCGCTGAGCGTCAGCTACATAGACATATCTTTGAAGTAAATAATATGTCCATTTAAGTCAGTAGCAGCAAACTTTGATACCAATTTTTGTTTTGAATAAGGGGTATAAAAATTCATTCTAGTTCAAAGTGCAATGGCAGCTGCTCCTAAAGCACCATAGAAGATAACGGAGTGGTATGTTTAGCATGCTTGGGGTGCTTTAATTAGGTTTAAATCTGAAATATAACTATACAGTAAAATAATTGTTGTTTGCAAATGAAATACAGACTCAATCTCATTACTTAGAGTCACAAGTTTTTAAAAATAAAATGGAGATAAGTGGCCCTCTTAAAAGAATAAAAGGGTATATACTTCCAAAAATGTAGTGATAGAAATGAAGTATCAGACTACCCTAGGCTCAGTCACAATCTTCATTTTTAAAGAGAAAGAACATTTAGAATTATGTTCCACGAGGACCATCTATATGTATATCCCAAGTTTACATGTCATTATTCTTGGTGGTCCTTTTTAAATAAAAATTTCAATTCTTAACACTGGTAAAATGTCATCTCCCTAAATCCCATGCTGCTCTAGTTTCCTTTTTGAGCAGCCTGTCATTGTGACTAAGTCTGAACCCTGTATAATCACAAAGCCCAATCTAAAGTTCACTTCCTTGGCAAACAATTTTGAATACTGACCTTAGTATAAGTGAAACAATAACTCTAGCCTCATGCAGGGAGAAGTTTGGGACATTTATCCTCTTTTTAGTGTGCTAGGAACGTGTCCTTTAGAATGGTGTAGGAATTATGAATAATGTATCTATGTGTGTGTGAAGAGCGAGGAACATCCCTCCTTTTACTGGGATAGGGGACTACCTGAAATACAAGGGAACAACCGGTTTGCTTTAGATCCCACGTTTACTGTGACTCATGGCCACATCTGATCCTCTGTGCATAGACAGACTACGGAAACCTAGGGACATAACCACCTGTTAAAGGTGGGAGCCCACCAAAATGTTAAGGGCAAAGGGCCAAAACTGTAAAAAAAAGCATACTTATCTTGTGAAGCTGTGATCCCATTGGCAGAATTAAATCCTCTGGCCACCACTTTGACCTCTTTGGGGCTGTAGAAAAGAACGTAAGTCCAGCGAAGTTCCAAAAAGATCTCAAGAAGTGACAAGAAGTAGGTGGTAAGATAGCGGTCCCTGGTGGCATAGAACTGTTCTGGTCCAAGAACCACGATGTCATTCACACTAAAGCGGGAAACAGAGACAGAGAGAGATCATTATCAAAATCACTAACCTCTGTATAATAATCTGTCCATTTAAAAGCCTATGCAAATCAGTACGGAGGCAGAAAATCCAAATAAAGCCTATGACTTTGCAGTTTTCTTTATAGTAGAGACGGGAGCTCTTCTGAGACCCTCAATGAGAACAGCATGAAACTAGGAAACCCACATTAAATGTGTGGCATGGATGAGAAAACAAAACAAAACTTTCAGCTTTTGAATCACTAAGAAATCAGGGCTTTTCTGCATGAACCTGCAGCATAACCCAGAGCATGCTGACCTTGTAACTTTGAGTATATGGCATTATGGGTAATATGCTTTCTTATGTTCTTCAATGGCATTAAAAAAGTTTTTTATTAATGTTTAAATGAAAAAATTTTAAACATTAAGGATGTTTAAATAAGTTTCACTTTTATTACCAGCAAAAAATAATAAACCCCTTTTTTCAGAAGGAAAAAAAAATTTAGAAGAAAAGAAAATAAAAAATGTAGAAAATTAGTTAACTTTTAAAAAAGGAAAATTTGGATGAAACAGGAAATATCTGATATTCGGATGTATCCTTTGCCAAAGTCACCAGGTTACTCCTGTTGGTTTCAATGTTTCCTCTTCCAAAAAAGTTTTTCTGTTAAATTTCCAACTGACTTATGTAGCACTTTCTTCTGCCTCTTTATAATTGCTTCATCAATGCACATATCATGGCGTCTCTGAAAGCCCTCCTTTAATTCTCACTGTGTCACCCATCTTGTTCCTGTTCCTTCACCCAGTTCTGCATGGAGTCTGACAGACTTCCTGCAGGTGCACACTAATGTATCTTCCTCAAGTCTGGGGAACATCTCTCGCCTTCTACACCCAAACATCCATGTTGACATGAAAGCCCGGGAAACCATCACACTTGACACATGCATGACTAGGCATGTGAGCAAGTCAAGGCCTCTAGAGGCACATTTTTGTTTAATGGGAACTGGGGCTGGTGGACAAACTAATCCCTTTCTCATCTTGGCCAAGGTGTCCTGAAACAAGCCAATTCCATGATCTCAAGTAGCCAGCTGCACTTAAAAACGCACAATAGCAATACAATTGCTATGCCTATCCTCCTGTGTGAGTTTCCTAGTGCCTCCATAAGAAACTACATGGCTGAAAACAACAGAAATGCATTGTCTTACAGTTCTGGAGGCAATGAATTGGAAATCAAGGTGTTAGCAAGGCCATGGACCCACTGATTCCATGGGAGGAAATTCAGGAATACTACGAGGCAGTCCCTGCCTGATAAAGGCATTACTACAATGCCAGTACCCATCTGACATGCCAGTGTTCCTTGTAGCTGCTTGTCTTCTTATGTAGGCAGTAGTCATGTTGTATTAAAATCACACCCTATTCTGGTATAACTTCATCTTTACTAATACTGTATAAATGATCTAATTTCCAAATAAGATCGCCTTTTAAGATACTAGGATTTCAACACATCTTTTGGGCGAGAGCAGAATCACAGCCATAACATGTTCCCTTCCCCGCCTCAGGCTGGTTCCTACTCCTTCTCACCGTGTTTCCTAACAGAGTTCCATAACAGGCTTTCCCCTCCCACTGTTCTGTCTGGGAACTCTTTCTGTGAGATCACACTTGTTTGGTGTGAACCTTGCAATCTGCCGGATAAGTGAGTCTCACCCTTGAGAGAATCCCTAATTGGCTGAGGGAAATTTGAGGTGCAGATTATTCTTGTCTCCAATTTCCCAAAAACTTCATGAAAGTTCTCACCTGCAGTGTAGCTTCAGAATGCAAGAACATGTGTTACGGAGAAGTTCAGTACCTTCCAGTTCTTATAATTGGCACCCTGTGTGTCTGGTGACTCCAGATTTCATAGGGGAGAAATTTCTAAGAGATGCTCGTTAGAGAGCAAGGGAGAGCAGGAGAGACCCCCTTCTTTCTATTCATCTACGCTTGGGAGGAGCCAGCTTCTGCCATTTTGGAATGAGTCCTTTAGTGTTGGGCTCATTCGTACAAAAGATAAATTCTTCATTTGTGGCTATAGTGGTGCAACAGGTAGCATATCCACTAAGAAACTGACAAGAAAGGTGCTTGTCATTGCAATCAGGAGCGAAGCTTTGAATTCAGACGCAGTGAGATTTACCCAGTTGTTCTCCACCTATGTTTGATGTCATTTAACAAGTTACCTAACTTGACATTTCTTCAAGAATCAGTTTACTTGTACCTGCTACTAAAAGCTATTGTCAGAATTAAGTTGAATTAAGTATTTTGGCACAGTATTGGTGCTTAAAAAATGCAATTTGTTGTTAGTGCCCACGGACATTCATCAAGTTGTACTTTAAAGCTTTGATTGAACAAAAAATGGTTCATCTGAAGGCAGACTTTAATACCCAGTCGCTAAGGCTCACAGAGTACAACCTACCTGGACAACTAGAAAAGTGGGAAGGCGTTGAAAGAGAGCTCAACAGTAGGTGTTGAGTTGCTGTGATAAAGAGGATGGGATTAAAGCTGGTCCTCTAAAATAGCACCTTTACAGGATTAAAATGCTTTCAAAACACAGGGATATTCAATACTGAATACAATAATTTCCAGTGTGGTGCCTGGCATGGTCACCAAAGGAATGTGTAGAAAGCATTAGGAAAAAAAAAAAAACCACTTTAAAACAAAAGTTTAAGAAACCCTGCTGGATCAGAGAAAACAAAGCACTCCACAGTGGTGAACAATCAAGGGAATTATGTAATAAGTTAATTCCATACCTCTTGAGCAATTCATGTTTTATAGTTTTCAGGTGCACAAGGGAGCGTGGTTGTTCTTCAAATTTAAACACCTCCACCGTAGACTCCATGTGGGGATGATTCACAACATAAAGATATACAGTGTGGTCTACAAGGAAAGAAGCAGTGATTCCGAGATGTTTACTTCAATTGCCATCATTATTAGTCCTGTTTTCATACTTGGTCACCCCTAAAGGTTTTCTTTACACATGCTGTATTTGAGCCTCTCTTTCGGCCAGTTAGGTTGGATAAATGCCAGAATCCCCATGATCATGAGGAAACTGAAATTCAGTAGGGGAATGAGTCAGCAATTCCACCACCACTACAGGCCAGAGGTGAGCACAGAGGGTTCTGTTGCAGTCTCTTTGACCTCACCTACATAATTTTTTCTGATAGGAAAACATGTGTTTCATAAATTTGGATTTGGTTTCCCCAATGGCCCTTCAACTGCAGAAGTGCAGCAAGCAAATAACACTTGACTGAGAACTTTGGGGGTGTGATAATTGTCCACATTGCAACACAGTTCAAAAAAGTATCAGGGCAGTGTACATACTTGACAATAAGCAACTTTTCCCATCTGAACAATGAACTTGTGACAAGAGTCAACGGCCTGAGGTTATAAGAAAATGCTGAGTGAACCCTGGGGCCTTCAAATGTAAATATCAATGCAGAAGAAAGCAGGCCAGCTAGTTCTTGGTGGTCCCTACCTCAGAAATGTTTATTTGCCTGTTTTCATATTGGAATGTGAACTGCTAGGAACAATGTTAAGAATAGGAAGCGCTCAGGGCTCTGTTTTGAGACCAGGTCTGATGAACTCTACAGCTTCTAAAGGGTCTAGTACCATCTTTCCTCTGTGGCACCTGCTTTGTGTTTATCTTCCCCATTTCTCTTATTGATGTGGTTTCCAAAGAAGCAGTAGAGCAAGCCCAACCCTGGTACTCTTGAAAGAGATTGGACATTTTATTTGGGTCAAGAAAAGATGCTCCTTCATGGCATATCTTTCTTCTGGCCTGGCCCAGCTTTGCCCCACAGCCACGGCTTGGCAAACAGAACATAGGTTAGATTTCAGCCTCCAAATGGCCCCGAAGCAAAACACTCTTGCTGGACATTGTGTGAGTGACCATATATGCTGCCCTCTGCAGGACCCCGACCACACAAGTGTCTTTCATAGTGCACTTACCCCTGAAAACCCGAGTTAATATGTAAATTGATATCATCTGAAAAATCCAACCAACCAACCAAACCCTTCCTCCAACTAACCTCAGCTCTGACACTGTCCTTGGCGTTCAGTCAGCCCTAGGAGAATCAGATCACTTAATAGACCTTCTCCAAAGAAGCAGCTCATGTCTAGTACAATAGGGCAATGGCCTTGAACTGTTTAAAGAGAGCCTAGAGTTCCAATATCAGTCCAATACAAAATACAGGATTAACAATGAGACCACCTGGGTTCTAACTTTGGATTTGCCATTTTCTAAAGACAAAAATGGAGTTATTCTTCACTGCATCTTCTAGGATGCTGAGTATCCGTATCTGCTCGACCTGTCCTGTTGGGTTCCTTTCATTATTCAGCTCTTTCTGTACTATTTATTAGCGTTCTGTGTACACAAAGTGCCTACCATGTACTAGATATTGTTCTGGATTCTGGGAATCCAAAGTCACGTGTGCTTCTGTGGTGATTATATTGCAGAGAGGAAAACAAGGAAAAACAAGAAGTAAGCTGAATTCCTAAGAAATGAAATCAGCATGTGGAAGAGCTATTTGCACCCCATGTTTAGAGCAATCCAGTAATAAAGAATCAACTCAGATGTCTGTCATCTAATAACTGAATGAAGGATATGTGGTATACATACAGTGGAATACTACTCAACCATAAAAAGAATGAAGCCTTTTCCTCTGCAACAAAATGGATGCAACTGGAGGCTGTTATGCATAATGAAATAAGACAGTCCCTAAAAGACAAATTCCCTGCTTTCTCTGATATGTGGTAGTTAATATAGAATACAAATATATAAGAACGAAACTACCATGTTCTGATAATTAATTATAGCTCTTGTCTATATTCCTGTGCAACAGTGGTCTTTCTGTTTTTACCTATTGAACATCATGGCTAGTGTTGCATTAAGCCTGTGATTATAAAGTGGAAAGTACATTATTACAAAAATTAAATGGAAAAAAAGGTTAAAAAAAAAGCAGGATAGTTATCCTTTTGAATTTTATCTCTGTAAAACATGAAGTCTGTTCTCTTTATATTAATAAAAAAATTTTTTAAAAGAATACTAGAATGGAGAGATTTCTGCTTCAGAGATTGTCACCACTTGGAGGATCAAGTTAAGCTTATATCTAAAAATAAGAAAGAACTTTGCATGAACGCATGCCAGGAGTAAAAAGAAATGGTATCTTTTAACATTTAAAAGAGAAAAGGTTAGCTAGGCCTTTGATGAGTGCTGAAAGCAGAGATGCAGCCTCGAGTGACAAGAAAGATTCAGAGCCTGGCCCTAGATGATGTGGAGGCTTCTCTAAGAGGCTGTTGAAGCTGCAACCTGAATGATGGAGAGTAAGCCAGGTATGCTGGAAAGGCATGCTGGGCAGACAGGGTGGCAAATGTGCAGGGGTCCTGAGACCTGAGGCACTTTCCATAGCTTAAAATTCAGTGAGATTGGTACAGAGGACATGGGATACATTGGGGAAGCACCTGGAAACCCAGGCTAATGGGGCTTCTTCTCAGATTAATGAGAACAGTAATGGAGAATACTATAAAAGCAGTGAGGTAATCAGATTTGTATAAAAAGTTGCAGTAACAAACTGGATGGAAGTGGTATAACAAGGGGGTTTAGCTGAGGAGGTAAGGTGAGTCCAGGGGAGACAGGCGAAGAGCTTGGTGGCAGATGGTGGCAGAAAGACAGGGAGAAGTGCACAGACCAAGGAGCTGTGGGAGAGGGGACCAAGCATTGTAATACACTGCCTGAATGGGTTAAGAAGAGAGGAAATGTGAAGGCTTTGGGTTTTTTTTGTGGGGGGGTGTGACTGGCTAGGGAATAAATTAGCTACTGACATAGAAACTGGAAAACAATGCGAGATTATTAGATACAATTATCAAGCAAGCTCAACAAATAGAAAGTGCTCATAATACTTCAGGGAAACATCTAATCTGCTTAATAGATCAGTAGTCAAGTAATTTGAAAGGCAACTATTTGTTTGCAAAAATCAGCAAACATTTATGAATGCAAAATGAAGGAACGGAACAGAGATCTATTGCATAAGTGTACTGAAATAAGTATTAGGGATTGATTTGGGTTTTTTAAGTCATTATACTTAACAAATACATAATAATTCCATTATATCATTTCATTAAAAGTCTTGAGCTGCTATACTCATTTGACATGCACTTCATGTAGTCACTATGACTGACACTACGTTGTTCTTATTTTTCCACACACTCCACAGAATCAAAATACTTAAAATTGAATTGGTTTGAAATGATGAACTGTGGAAAAACAAAAATATTAGAACTTATTTTTAAGTATATATGGAATATTCATAGTGTTATATTTTTGTCATGGCTCTTCTGGGCCATAATTCACACATAATTAAATTTACTTTTAAATTGGCAGATTTAGCAGATTTGATTATGAGTGTACCTCAAATTGAAGAAGTTTATTTTGCAAACAAAAAGATGTAATCCCTGCAGTTGCTACACTATATGCGTGTCCATGAGCTTTTCAAAGACTCCCTCCTATAGTCACAGAATTGTGCAACAATAACCATTGTTTCATTCTAGCATAGTTTCATCATGCCCAAAGGAAGTCTCATACCCATTGGGTGCCACCGATTCTGAACTCTTCATATTAATGCAATCATGCAACATGGCTTTTAGTGACTGAATTTTGTCATTTAACATGATGTTTAGAAAGTTCTTTAATATTGTAACATACATCAGGAGATTATTCCTTTTTATCATCAAGTAATGTTCCATTGTATAAATATACCACATTTTGTTTTGGGGGCCATCAGTTGCTAGACATATGGGTGATTTCCATGTTTGGAGTAAAAGGAATCACGTGGCCATGAACATATGTACACAGGTTTTTGTGTGGATTTCAGCTCTCTGGGATGAGAACCAAGAGAACCTGCTGGGTCGTAGGAAACGCTACAGTGAATATTTGAGGAACAGTCCAACTGGTTTCTGAAGTTTCCCAACTCCTACAAGCAAACTGGGATGGTTTAAGCTTCTCTACATTTTTGCTAATGTTTATTACTGCAATTTTTTTCACTTTTGTCATCCTAGGGTATGTGAAGTGGTATACCTCATCCTAGTGTTAATTTGCCTTTCTCTAAGGACTGACATTGTTGAACATCTTTTCTTGTGCTTATTGGTCCTTTATTCTTTAGAAGAAATTCCATTCAGATCCTTTATCCATTTTCAAATTTGATTGTTTCAATCTTTGAGATGTAAAAATGATTTATATTTTGTGGATACAATGTTTTACTAATGTCACATTTTTGGGGGTAACTTCTTGGCTTTCTTGGCGTATCTTTTGGTACATAAAAGCTCATTTTGGTGAGTCTAACTTATATTTTCTCTATCTTTTTAATGTCACGATTATTTTTAAAGAGTCCCTTGTTTTTATTTGATTGGCAGGGTGAGAGGAGCAAGAGAAAGCTTTTCTATCCACTGGTTCACTTGCTAAATGGCTACAAGGGCTGGATTCAAGCTGATCCAAAGTCAGGAACCTGAAGCCTCTTCCAAGTTTCCCAGGTGGTGCAGTGGCCCAAGGACTTGAACCATCCTCTGCTGTCTTCCCAGGCCCCAAGCAGAGAGCTGGATCCAAAGTGGAGCAGCCGGGACGTGGTACCCCTATGGGATGCTGGTGCTTCAGGCTGCACCAGCCAGCTATACCACCATGCTGCGTCCTGATGTCAAAATTGTTTTTAAAAGATTTCTGAGAAATTTTTCAATTAGGTTATGCAAGTGCATAAAAAAGAGGATGGGGCCTAGCGCCATGGCGCAGTGGTTAAGGTCCTCGCCTTGCACGTCCGGGATCCCATATGGTCACCGGTTCTAATCCCGGCAGCCCCACTTCCCATCCAGCTCCCTGCCTGCAGCCTGGGAAAGCAGTCGAGGACGGCCCAAAGCTTTGGGACCCTGCACCCGCATGGGAGACCCAGAACAGGCTCCTGGCTTCGGATTGGCTCAGCTCCAGCCGTTGCGGCCGCTTGGGGAGTGAATCATTGGACGGAAGATCTTCCTCTCTGTCTCTCCTCTCTGTATATCTGCCTTTCCAATAAAAATAAAATAAATCTTTAATAAATAAATAAATAAATAAAAAATTAAAAAAGAGGATGACAGGAAGCAAAAGAGGCTACATTGGGTAAAAAAATCAGTCTTCCTAGTTTCACACCATGTTTTAAGATAATTTCTATTCACATGTACAATTCTACAAATTTTGTTTGCATAGTTATGCTAAAATAATATTATCACCTACCTTTATCAATGAAAGTACTGATCCCATGTGGATTGAATGCTTCTTTATCAAATCCATTGCTAATTTCCAGTTCTTGTGCTCTTGGGTTCTGCTCATTCAGATCCATCAAGAAGATTTTGCCTGGCTCATCTGGTGCGAAGCTTGGCATGCCTGGATATTTTATTCCCTTTAAAAATAAGGAGGAAGGAAACTCACATTCAAATGTGTCAAATAATGTATTCATGAAATGGAAGCTAGAGTCCCAATGCCAAACAAAAATGTCCACGTTTTCTAAATTTCATCTAGATCTCTAGGATGTTTCTGATCCATTGCCGTGATTTGAGCTCGGACTACCAGTATCACCTAAACATTGGCCATGATGATGAGACCGATATTCAAGATCAAGAAAAACTGTTAATTTAGAAAGAAAGAATTGAGCCAAAAAACATAATGCAGGCAGCCAGGCTATGTTACTTTTTTTGAGTTCCTTGTTCTGCCTCTGCCCCAGATCCTGTCTCCTTCGAATGAGGAAGTGAAACTGCTAACATTCTTTGTATTCCTGACACTTCATAACTTGGCCTTCTCAGAGCAGTGACAAGGGGTGTAAGATTAAATTTTATTGTTCGTCTTCCCACATTGATTTTGTTACACAGCGGCAAATAGCAGAATCGGCAGAGAATTAAAGTAGGGATTCCCCCCTCTTAGAATTTGATGATTTCTGCCCAGTGTTACTCCTATCTGACACAAATTCTTCTCTCCAAATATTGCAAGACATTCTAGGAACTTGGATAGTAACCCTTTCCACTATGAGGACTAGGTGTTAATTAACTCACAAGATATATCCACGAATGTATCAGGCTTTTGCTGTGTCAAAACTTGGGACTCATTTATTCTACACCAGTTACAGGATGGTCTGTTTTCTCTCCATGTACCTTCTCCAAGACTCTGATCCATAACAATATCAACAAGCCTGTAATTCCCCCTGTCCTCGTATCTGATTGACAGTGCATTTAAATTTTCTCCTTCCTACTCTGTCTCTCTCGCTCTTCCTTTATTGTAAACAGCCAAACCACACTTATACACATACTTATAAAAATATTATTCTTGGCCTCCTTGTACAGTAATCAATTTCCCCTAAATTCTTCCACCAACATCTTCAAGCTTTTCATAGAACAATCTTTCTATGTCCAAATCTTTTTCCCAGCATTGAGTTGGGGGCTAGGGGATCCAGGTGTTCTCCCAGACAACGCCAACATTACTGAAGAGGATATGCTAATTCCCTTTTCTGTTCTCCTTCAGCCTCCACAGCTAGGAGATAGAAGGACATGCCCGAGCCACTCTAGACTTCTGCTTCCAGATCAGCAATTCTGTCGCTGTCAGCTAGCTGACAGTTTTTCAAGGAAGCCATGCCATTTGCTTTATTATTAAAAATCTCTACTAACTCTCTTTGCCCTGGTCTGGATCTTCTAAAGGGCAAGTGACAAATCAAATGTAAAGACTTCATTGCAGGACCATCACCCCAAGATCAGGCATATGTTCTAGTCAATTTCTTGTTCATTCTAATAGGTGAAAAGCTGGATTTTTCCAACTATCCTAAGTCCTTCTAGAACCCGCACCTTCTTCCTTTACATTTGGGGTGGACAACTTTACTTTCTACTTGCTCAGGGAGGCAGCTCCAAGCAGTGCACCAGAGTAGGTGTGTGGGGGAGCTTTGGGAGAAAGCAGCTATGAGGGCACTTACTGCTGGGAAGTGGAAAAGCTGGATATTCTAAAAGTGAAAATTATCTGAAAGGGAGGCATGGGTGGAGCACTGCGAGCCGACTCAGCCTACATTAAGTGCTTTGATCAGTAAAATGCTCTGATAAGTGTGTAGATGGTTGGCTCTTTTGCTACTCAAGACAGTCAAGAAAGAGCTGGGCAGCAGTCCCACTGTGTGCTTGTGATTGCAAGCAATCCTTTCAGTACCATTCTCCCGAGAAGATGGTGAAGGTCACTTGACAGTGCAAGAGTCTTAGCTTCCCCAGAGCACAGGTTTATGTATGGACAATCATGGAGAGCCTTCAGAGTCCTCACCCGCCAGCACATGCATTCCACCTGCTTGTGCTGGTTGTTAGGTACCAGATGTATCAATGAAAATTCTAAAACCCTGGCCTTGGGGAGCTCAGAATATAGTGATGCAGCAAGCAGCAAGCAAATCAGTATGCATGATTCAAGGCAGTCTAAGCACAGGGGATGTGGGAGACACCTCAGCCAGCTGGTAGGTGTGAGGAAAGCTTTCCCAGAGGAACTCAAGCACCAGCACAGCGAGGCCTCCCAGAGAACTAGGCTCTGCTCACAAAGTGTGAAGTAGGAAGTTATCATGCAGGCCAAGAGAAGCATGCCAAGTCCTAAGGCAAGGAGAGAAATATCCTGTTTAGCATGTCTAATTTTACTAAAATGATCGATTGCACAGAATTACTTTTTATCAAGGGCGGGGAATCATTTTTTCTTGCCAAGGGCCACTTGGATATTTATAACATCATTCCTTGGCCATACAAAATTATCAACATTAAAAGTAGCCTGCTACGGATTTACTAAAATTTGAATCTGCCTGCAATTGTCTCAGCAGGGCCAGACCCAATGCCTTTGAAGCCCTTATAATACCCAGATTAGACTTTCTGTACTCTTGCAAAATTATCAGCCTCCGAATGTCTTCTGGGTAGCAAGACAAGATGGTAGTAGAAACCCAGAGCAGATTTGTATTTCTTATATAGCAGAAAAATGAAAAACAAGCAAAGAATATAATCCTTAGCTTCTAAGCAGGAGCTGTTAGTATACAAAAAAAGAGATACGTCACTCAGAACTTCGTGCTGACATTTCTTAGGGAACTATTTATGATGAAACTATCTACTTTCTGGATAGCAATAATTCAGTGTTGCTAGACAGTTCTGCTTTATATAGATTTTGGGAGAAAAAAATAAAATCCCACCCACACATATCACCATCAGGATCAACACTGGTTCACAGAGGTGAAATGAGACCTCCACTGGACTCTAGCGTGCACAGTTATACATCCCCTCTTTGGTTGCCCAGAATATTTCTTTATTTAAAATTTGTGGAGGGAGCCCTAGGTTAAGATGCCTCGTACCATATCAGAGTACTTGGGTTTGAGTTCAGGCTCCAACCCTGCTTCTAACTTCCTGCTCGTGTGGACTGTAGGAGACAGATAATCATTAAGTCATTGTGCTCCTCTTGAGTTCCCTGCACCTGGCTTTGGCTCAGCCTGGTCCCAGATACTGCAAGAATTGGGAAATGAATCCATGGAAAGGACCTCCCTCAGTCTCCTTCTCTCTTGGCCTCTCAGATACATCTTAAAGTAAAAGTAAAAACTAAATACAAAACAGATATTCTTTGGTGTTACTGTGCTAGCCAAACATGAAATACTGGGCGTGCAATTTTAGTCATTGAAATTCACACTGAAAATGTGGTAGATCAGTAAAGGAAAATGTTAGGTTCCCATTTCCAAGTGCTAAATACATGATAATCTGAACACTTCACAAATATACATTATTTGTTCATGGAATTTGGTCCTGGCATAGCTTCCTGGTCATCCCAAACCTTGGAAGGTAGTATTGGGAATAAAATGTTTTTGAAAGCCATGAGAGGAATGGCAGGGAACCCAAGATAGAAAGTGCTCAGGGTTTGGAATCAAATCAGTTGGCATTTGACCTACTAACATTTGGACACAGGCAGGCATGGCAAGAGGAACAGTGGCTAGTGAGAAGATGCTGCTGCTCAGCAGGCACAGAGGGCAGTACTGGGGATGGCAGAGGGCATCCCAGGGCTCAAACGGAAATCAGTGCTTCTTTATTGAGAACCTGGGGAGTGTGCAATGGCCCAGTGGATGCTGCCGATCACAGGGCTGTCTACGCTGGCAGTCTCCTGACGTGATTGAAGCACTTCTCCAGAGTCCTGCTTTCCTTTGGTGCTGTGAGAGTGTCGAGGCCCATCTGGCCTTGTGAGTCAGCAACACTAATGCACTGTGTACACAGCTATTGACACGAGCAGCAGAGTGGCGCAGAAAATACTCACGCTGGAGATAAAAGCCAGCCCACTAGGAAGTATATCAATATCTTCTGAGCCAGCTTCTGCAAAAGAAGCAGAAAGATGTATGGATGAAGGCTTAAAAAAAAATAAACCCCCTCGTTCAAAGTTTGAACTTCCTTTGAACACCCCACTGCCCTTTTCAACCATTTGCTTGAAAAATATGAGCTCTCAGAAACCCCACCGTCTTGCTGCTCTATAGACACACCTGACTCAATCTCCTCAATTATTAAATAAGATTTTAGAACTCCATTTTCAGGAGAAAAAAGGCAAATAGTAAAAAAAAAAATTAATATCCTAGGTTTACCCTTTAAATACAATTTCCAGGACCCATCCTGAGAGATATCATGTTATTCCCCATAGAAGACTGAGGGATAAAGTTGGAAAAGTTACAACTGTGCCAGTCGTTGCTCGTCCTCTTCACCAAGTATTCCTTCTAACTTGCTGTTGAGGCCTAACAATCTATCATGACTCAATTCCATTGGGAGACTATTGAGTAATTATTCCATGTAAAAGGAGTAAGTTCTAGGATAGACTATTGGACATACAATGTTTAAAGAGCGTTTGCTCACAAATCTTTCTTGCTGAAAGCTTGTTTTGAGCATTTTTTTTTCTATAGAAAGAGGCACATAAAAGTGAAGATCTCCTGAGAACATGATAATAAAAGGTCGGTGGGGCTTGCAGTGAGCAGACAGATCCATATAAAGTGTGGCCTCAAACAGGCAGGACTGAGACAGAAGGCAGCAATCACTTAGTGTGCAAACAATTCTACAAATATGTCAGAACAAACATATACCAGAGCCACATATGTTTCCTCAGATGTGATGTTCATACTGTTCCACGAAGGAGGGAACTTAACTGGAAGCAGCTTATTGAAAGGGACTTTATCATTACTTCAACTACTACAGTAAGATGCATGCAATACCACATCACAACCCCGGCTAGATGTGGGGCCACAGACTCCCCCTCTCCCTTTTCCCTCCCTCCCTTACTACGTCTATAATGTCTATGTGTATATCTATATCTGTATTACATTTATAGCTAAGTCTACATCAACAGCTAGGTTTGTACCTAATTCGCTCAAGGCATGAAACCTGGAAGCCCTGAGTCAAACATCACAAAGCAAGTGATGTTGAAGCTGCACAGGAGACTACAGGGAGTTTACACGAGGTGCGAGGGGATGCCGGAAGGGGCCAGTTGAATATGGTGTTTGAGTGACTCTCCCCAGCACAAACGGAACAGGTTGAACAGTCTCTACTAAGGTCTGTCAGATGCGTGAGCAATGGAGTCATTGTTTCAAGGCATCAAGTGTTGAGGTGGCTTGTTGTATAGCCTTGGAAATTGGGACATGTGGGAAAATGGTTACCTGGGAGAATGAGTTGCTAGGATGCCAACAGGCGATTGGTAGAGGAGAGGGGGAACGTGGACAAAGCCAAAGAAAATGCAAAATGCGAATCAACAGAATGTGAGCCACAGACCCTGAAAGTGGGAGAAGGCAAGTAATATTTTATGCATTATACTGAATTTTGCAACTGATCCCCAACCATCAAAATGAAAATGAAATTAACCAGAATTTCCCACTTCCCAAACATCCAGCTAAGAAGGATTTACCTATGTGGGGGTATTTTAGAACCCTCATAAAAAATGTGGGATTTTTTTAAGATTTATTTATTTTTATTACAAAGTCAGATATACAGAGAGTAGAGACAGAGAAGAAGATCTTCCGTCTGATGATTCACTCCCCAAGTGAGCGCAACAGCCAGTGCTGCGCCGATCCGAGGCCGGGAACCAGGAATCTCTTCCAGGTCTCCCATGTGGGTGCAGGGTCCCAAAGCCTTGGGCTGTCCTTGGCTTGCTTTCCCAGGCCACAAGCAGGGAGCTGGATGGGAAGTGGAGCTGCTGGGATTAGACCCGGCGCCCATATGGGATGCTGGCGCATTCAAGGCAAGGACTTTAGCTGCTAGGTCACGCCGCCAAGCCCGATAAATGTGTTTTATGAGAAAAAAAAAAACCCGCATATATTTGGAAGGCATTGTACCATAATAAACGTATTTTAATTCTATTTCTCCATATCCTCAAAAAGCCTGAAAGATTTAGTGGTATTTCCATATTGAGCAATAAAGGCATTCCCTCGGGGAGATTGAATGAAACATTCTAAACAATTGCACAATCACATCTAATACAATCTGGTTACGTTTTTGTTTTCTCCTGCCTCTCAGAGCACACACTGTTGATTTCCTTTTACCCTCATCTCCTCCCCACCTGTGACCCGAAGGTGGACGTCCTCTATGCTCTGCTTTGCATTTTTCTGGTGACAGGATATCCATTCTCCTTGCGTGGTTCACTCTAGCCCCGTCGTTAGGGTTCCACTCACAAGGACTTCATTTCTAATTATCTAATTCAAGCCTCAAGTTTTAGACTTCTGTACTCATCCATATATTGACCATTTTTATCTGATTTTTCCATTCCTCTTATTCAACAGATTCCAATCTGATCTGGACATTTCTTCCAATCTTCATTTTTATCCTGATGACATTTTCATTCCCCAAGAACCCAAAGCAGAACCTTGGAGTTACTTCTGTAGCCTCCCTTTTCCATAATCCCTAATTCCTAATGATCATCAGCCATTCAAACTCTGAAATTTTGGAGCTGCTGTAGTGTGACATGTCTAGGTGCTGTCTGAAATACTGGCATCCTATAAGGGGGCTAGATCATGTCCTGGCTGTACCGCATCTGATCCAGTTCCCTGCTAATATGGATGGAAAAGCAGTGAAAAATGGCCCAAGTGCTTGGATATCTGCACCCATGCAGGAGACCTGGGAGAATTTGTGGTCTGGCACAACCCTGAGTGTTGCAGCCCTTTGGGGAGCAAATAAGCACATGGAAGATTTCTCTTTCTGTCTTCCCCTCTGTCTGTGTTATTCTGACTTTCAAACAGATCTTTTTGTCTTTAAATAAAATTTTAGAATTTTTCTCCTGGATTTTTACAAGAGCTTCCCAACTGAATATCTTTGCTCCTCTACAGCCATTCTTTGTGCTGCTGAATCAGGTATTTTAAAAGATTTTTTTTAAATTTTCATTGGAAAGGCAGATCAGATTTATGGAGAGAAGGAGAGACAGAGAGAAAGACTTTCCACTCGCTGGTTCACTTCCTAAATGGCCTCAACAACTGGAGGTGAACTGATCCAAAGCCAGGAACTTCTTCTGGGTCTCCCATTTGGGTGCAGTCTCCCAAGCCTTCGGACCATCCTCTACTGCTTTCTCCGGCCACAGGCAGGGGGCTGGATGGGAAGTGGAGCAACCAGAACATGAACTGGCACCCATGTGAGATCCAGGTACTTGTAAGATGAGGATTTAACCATTCAGCCATCATTCTGGGCTCCTTGAATCATGGTTTTTTTTTTTCATTGTAAATTTGATGTTCTTAATCACTGGTCTAAAACCTTCTAGAGACTTGCCAGGACTGGCAATATACATTCCAGGACCTTTTCTCTAGATCCAAACCCTTCCATCTTGGACCAAGTCTCAGTTCTGGTGTTTCCATCTCCCCAGTCTACATTCCAGCTGTGCTGAAGGGCTTGACTAATTTGTGAAATAAGTAAACCAATCGCTTGTGAGCCAGCATACATGTTGTTCTCTCCTCTTTGCCATACTCAAATCTTTCCCATCAGAACCTCATCTCCACTTAGAGGTATCAGCTCTTGCAATGAACTTGGGAGCCACTGCCGCAGAATTTCCAAACTCTGTTGGTTTTTAATCCTGCATGCCTAGTAAGATTACCCATAGTTAACTCCCCCACAGATCCAGGACTGTTAAAGTTCTCAATAAAAGCTGGTTGATTCAGTAAATAAATACTTTAGTTTCCTTGAAGTTCATCTTGTTTTAAGGTTAGACTACTGTTCTAATTTTCTCTGATACAATGGTTTTTCTAAATGATCTTTTGACTTGATGATGGAACAAATCAACATGCATTCAGTAAAAAACTATACTTAAAATTGTGAATTTTGATCTTTTTCCAGACTGGTGTTACGCACCATAATCTTCATTTATGAAACTGGGCAGTGGCCATAGCAGCCATAGTTCCCAGTCAGCCACATACTCTGGAGGGGAAAGAGCTGACACTCTATAGCATTCTGTGTTGCTAAGCTAGAATGTTCAGGTGAGGTGTAGCCAATGGACTTTAACCTATAATATTTATAACTTACAAGGAGCTTATCAGGATGTAACTCCCTTGTAAGTTGAAGAGCAGCCATACAAGATAATCTGAGCGTTTTGCTGTTTAGATCTTTTCTTCCAAATGACATTTTAGTTATCTTGTCAGTAACTTGTCTACAAATGAGCATTTTCTTGAGGGGTTTCGTGCATGTCTTTATTTGCCCCTTCCAGAACCTGGAGATCTGATGCATTATGGTAAGAAGTGGAAAATTACCAACTTCTTACACAATGTCGCCAACCTTATTTAACCTCACCGGCATGCCACCTGCTTGATAGGCCAGTGCCTCTGGGCAACAATGGCACCAGTGGGAGTAAGAGCTCCAGGCACCTTCCCCTGATCCTTTTCCACACACATGAGCTTGCACAAAACATTCATGGAAATCTAAAATCAGTTTTATGAGTAGGTGCCTACTGCTTTTAAACCTGTCAGTACTACTAGTGCCTGGGCTAACTTAGTTCTTCAGTTATCTCTTCAATTGATCCCTGTAGGCATCCTGAGAAAGAGTTCCAGGCAAACATTGCTGCTAGTCCATTTCACATCTTGGACAAAAGGTTCCTACATCCAGCTAAGGAAACAAATGGCACTGATGATGGAGCGGAAGCACATCTTGAGCACACAGGAAGCTACAGAGGGGAGAAGGGATGGAAGGGAAGTGAGGCAGATACAAATCCAGAGGCTGTCTTCCTGGTAACACTGCCCAGGAAGAAACCTAACATATATATTTATAAAGTGTAACTTTGACTAGAATCCAAGTATAGCTGAATAACTGCCTATCCAACACCTATCCTTTGCCTTTAAAGTCTGAAAGAATAAACAATACCAAGTGATTTAGGAGATATGATTCTTAGTGGGAAAAATATTTCAGCTCTTGATCTCTCATCTAAGACTTCTGTGAAGAAAACTCAGACAGCAAAAATCAGAAAGAGCTTCTTCCACCAGTTAAATAAACCTGAGAAATCTGATCTTGAAGGAAGCTGAACTGCGCATCTCACTCTGGCTGGTACTGCTTTCTATACCCCATCTGAAATCCTTCAGTGGCTCTTTGGCATCATGAAGGCAAAAGGTTCTGCCTGTTGAATAGATGGATCTTGTGTGGGTTGGCCTACTAAGTATTTTCATGTATTTAGCCTTCATTCTTTTGATTAGCCCATATTTAGTAATATTGGAGCCATTTGTATCTCAGAATGTCTATTTTCAGCTGCTGCAATACTTTCTTGGGACTTCTATAAGGAAAAAAAAAATCATGTTGCTGGTAGATAACAAAGGCAGTGTTACTCAACAGAGTATAAAGGCACAGAAAAAACCAAACTGTTCACATTCTAGCTCCTTGATCCTCTGCTTCTGGATTATTGGGTAAGCTTCTGAAGCATTCTAGGTGCTTTGTTGATTTCCTATCCCCAAAGTATGAGTAACAGAGTTCATGCCACAGATACATGTGAGCATAATGTTGATGTAAAGAACACGATGGAATGCTTATAGACACTGGGCCTTTTGATAAAGCAGCTTTTTATTTTCAGATGTCAGCCCTGTCCAGTTGGCAATAATCCATGGTCATTCTAACTTTGGGTTAGTTCTCCAATATAAAATGTAAATGTACCAACAGACAGGAGAAGTAATACAGAATTATCCTCTCTCGTTCCTATCCAGCTTTGGAATATTTTAAGTCATTCTCTTCAAAGTCATTGTGTAAGCAGAACACTGACCCAGGAACACTACAGTTTCAGGCCCTTAAATCTAGTTTAGTTGCGCAACTTGAAAGTCAGATTAACTCTTAGCAATTATCCAGGCCAATTATCCCCGTAATTTGTTTGGCAGGCTCACATTTTTTGAGAAGTATAAAGGTGTATGGCCTAAGCTTGCACAGTACTTCACAAAACAATAAATGGATGAGTGAATGTCAGGTTTCCTTACTTTACAATTGAATCCTGACCCACCATCCCAATAAATTGATGGGAAATACAATCCAAGTCATTAGCAAGGTTCTCTGTTAGGGTTGTCTAATGATTCTAGGTGGGTGTGGGTCTTAAAACCAAGATGAGTATTTTTTGGAAGCCCTATAACCTTCAGTCTATACTAGTCCCTCATTGAATTAATTACTCATTGTCAAACCAAGTATGGTCCATTTAATTTTCACAGTTATTCCAGTTCCATGTCATGCATGGACACCAGGCTGTTAGCTGAAGCTGGGATACACTGTGCAAAGGGTGCTGGCCCCCAAAGGATACCTTATCACCATTCATTCTGAGGTGTCAGGCAGTGGAACAAAGGTCTGTATAATTCAGAGAAGTTTTATCCCTTTATCAGAAAACTCTGAAGAAGCTCAAGCTTTTGAAGTTTTTTTTTTTTAACTGAAAAAAAAATTTATTTATTTGAGAGACAGAGAGAGAGAGAGCAGGAGGGGCGGGGGTGAGGGGACTCATTAGCTGGGACTGGGCCAGGACTCCAGCCGAGAGTGGGGAATAAATCCAGGTCCCCCTGCGGGAGCCAAAACCCAATGACTTGAGCCAGCAGTGACACCTCTCATGGTATACATTGGCAGGAAGCTGGAGTTTGGAGCCGGAGCTGGGACCTGAACCCAGGAACTGCAATGTGGGATGTGAAGGTTCTAACCAGTGCTTAAACAGTGATGCCAATACTCAAAAGTCAGGAAAGGGGTTGTCCTGGGTTCTTCCCACTTTCCTGCTGGCAGCAAAAGCCACCTCTACGATCCAGGATACTCATTTTGGGAAATTCAGCTTTGAAGGGGTGGGTGTTCGGTACTGTGGTTAAGATGAGGCTTGGGATGCCCACATCACATGTCACAGTTTGCCTGTGTCTGCATCCTGAAGCCATTCTAGCTTCTTGCAAATTCAATGTGTCCTTGAAGGCAGCAGGTAATGATGGCTCAATTGCTTGGGTTCCTGCAACCCAAGCAGGAGAATCAGAAGGAGCTCCAGGCTGTTGGCTTTGACCTGGCCCAGCCCCACATACTGTGATCATTTGCGTTTGGGGGACTGGACCAATGGACGGCATGAGAGATCTCTTTCTGTTTCTCTCTATATAGTTCTCTGTCTGCCTTTTAAAGAAATAAAAATTGAATAACAAAAACGGCAGAAAACAAAAAACTCAAAAGGGCTCATTTTCTGCTTATGTGTGTATGCATGAAAATCAGGAAAACAAAATGCACATTCATACAAACACATACATACAACTCTCCTGTCACCTATTGATCAACTGGGAGTCCTCAGATCTCATAGTCAAAGCCAGAACACAGCCACAGTAGCTAGGAAGATAAAGTAAGCGAGAGTTGCCATGCATGGATCAAGCCTTCCAACTGCTGGGGAAGTTGGAGGAAATAAGTGACTTGTGGTTGATTTCAATAAACAGAGAGCTGGGATTCCATTCTTGCTGTGCAGAGGTGAGAAAGGGAAAGGGAACAACGAACAGCCTAGGCCCCTCATCCCACCTTTTCTCCTAGAAGCAATGTGAGGAAGAAGTGGAGGTGTGCAGCCCAAAAGAACAAGGGATCGTGGTAATTCGGAGGTGAGATCCATCTCTGGAGGAGTCACAGTGACACAGATATGCCGCTAATAGTCTCATGTGGGAACAAGAGGGACCCTGGGAAAGCAGATCGTTCGTGGACTTTGCCCAAGTCTCCTGCGAAAGGGAACACTATCTAGTGGGGCAGTCCAGCAGGAGAGATGTTCCTGAGTGGGAGACAACGGGGCAGGGGATGATAGAAAGGACCTGCTGATTTCCATGAAAGATGGGAAGGTGGAGTTGTCCTTGAATGGACAGGGAGGTCTGCTGTCTGAGAAGTCAAAAACTAAGCTGTGGATTTTAGATTAAATTCTTAAAAGGCATCAAGGTATACTGTGAGTTTTCAAAAATTATTTATATATCTAGCATCTAATTTTATTTGAAAGCCAGAGCGAGAGAGATTCATGTCTCTGGCTCCCTGTCCAAATACCTGCAACAGCTCAGGCTTGGCCAGGCTGAAGTCAGGAGACTGAACTTGAGTCTGGGTCTCCCACAGGAGTGGCAGAAACCCAAGAACTTGACACATGACCCCCTTCCTCCTGAGGGATGCACTAGCAAGGAGCTGGACTCGAAAGCAGAGCTGCAATCAAATCCAGGCACTCCATGTGCGGTGTGGGCACCCCAAGGCATGTTTTAACCACTGTCCCAATTGCCCACCCACTGCCAGATTAATTTTGGAGCCAGAAATGTCACCAAGAAATGGGTGATGGAGATAGAAGATAAGTCAGGGAGGTAACAAAGGATGGAGACACTGGCAGAGGGAGACCAGGAGCTCGGAGCTCGTGGGGATAGGCAAAGACAACTCCGAGGTGATCCCCACATCAGGAGACATGTCAGGAAGACAAGCAGGCAGAAATGGGCCACAGACCTGGGTCCTTAGGAGACCCCTTGTGTGGGGCCACGTGGGGAAAGCAGCTGGGGTAGAAGGCACCAAGAGGAGCCAAAGCAGGAACAGGGGACTTCGTAAGTTGGCATTGCTCAGCCGGGTGGGGCTGAGTCCTGCAGGCAGCTGGGCCCTCCTGATACTGTCCCAGACATACCGATTCCCTCAATAAGGCGACAGCTCTGGGGTTCTACGGGCTCCAGTTCTCGAACTGCACCAATTCCTTTTCTGTAGAAGACAGTGACAAACACAGAGGTCAAGGTACAACCTGGCAACCCATGTCCAACTGACCTTGGCTTTTAATCACCAGTGCTTAACTCTTTTTATCCTTAATTGATATAGACAACAGATGTAATATACACATTTTTGTACTTGTATTTGCTTTCATAAGGTGCTGTTACTTGGGTAATGTACCTGTTTTGGGTAATTTGACTGCAATTACTGGAAAACTACAACATGGTTTTATAGGGAAAAAACACATTATTTCAATACATACTGAACAATGTTGGTAACTTAAATCCACAGAATAACATTATGTAATTTTCTAAAGTAGTATCTATTGTAAATTTGCACTCACTTTATCTTCCACAGTTTTGAATCTGACTTACCCAAACTGTCTTCCCAAAATGCCAGAGTCTCTTAAGAGATTAACTCCTTAGCTTTTATTTTAGCTAAAAATCTTAGACTACCATACTTTGCAAAAATGTAACTTCACGGAACTGACCACCCATGGGCCAAAGCATGTTTCCAGTCAGCATTCTGGTTTGTACAGTGAAACATTCTTCTGAATATATTATTAAGGATGATTTAAAAATCTAGCGGGGAACACCCCATATAAGACTTTCAGTTTGTCATAAATATGCTTTTTTTTTTTTTTTAGTTTTTCTTTACTGTGATTGCATGGTTGCCCTGGTAACCAATGTTACAAAAACACTTTCAAGCTGATACACAATGTGTTAAGTAATCGGTCACCTGGCACCTCAACAGAGGTGAGCCTGAAGACCCTGGCATCCACAGGGAGAAAGCGAGATAACTTCAAGACCACTGGAGTCCACAAGAATCCCAGGCAGCAGGTCAGGGCTCCTCCCTGCCACACTTGCCCCTGCATACCATACCTACTCAATGCCTGCCGCCACCTGCAGGTTTCAGCTCAACACAGCCCACTCCCACTCAGGGTCAGCTCTTGGAATCTGAGATGGGTTCTAACTCAAAGCTGCATGCTGTCTAGACAGGCCTGGGCTAAGGCTGAGTCACCCATGAATGTCTCCTTGATAGCCTTGTCTGCCACCTCAAGTCCTGAGCTCCTGCTAGACTGTTGACAAGTGAAATGTGTGTGTGTGTGTGTGAGAGAGAGAGAGAGAGAGAGAGAGAGAGAGAGAGAGAGAGAGAAAGACAGAGAGAGAGAGACAGAGAGAGAGAGAGAAAGAGAAACACAACAGGGTCAGGGGTGTCTGTCCTTTAGAAAACAAATGTGGGCATTTCTGCCCTGTCTTTTAGGAAAGTTAGGCGGGCAGTTCAGTAGCCAAAGAAATGGTTCCCAGCAGGGAGTTTTCAGGCTGCGTCTCAGGACTGAGGTCCGGCCGCTCATTCCAGCTTGCCTGCCTTGAAAGCCACTTCGGGCAGTCCTTGCCCTCCCCTGGGAGAGGACAGAGTCAGGGTGCCTGACTCACCTGAACGCCAGCAGCCGCTCTCCGATTAGGGCTAGGCAGACCCCCAGTAGGGTCAGGATCAGCAGCTTCCCCATGGTCCCTGCGTGCCAGGTGGCAAGGAGCGGGCGCAGTGATCTCCCCAGGGCTGGGCGGGCAGGCTCTGGCACCGCCCATCGCCTGCCCGCGGTGACTCCCTAGTGGGGCACTGCCAGGTACAGATACTAGGACTCCAGGTGTGCACCCCCACCCAACGGACGCTCCGGTTCAAGGCCACCTGGAAGCACCGGAATTCGCCAACTGAGTTAAAGTGCACGTTTATGCTCAAAGTACCAGGAAAATTAGATGCGCCAAGTTCCTTTTTCCTACGGGCTCATGTTACAGGGAGGGAGCCGGAGTCTTTCTCACGTTAGGAGTTTCCTAGGCGCCAGCTTTAGGGAGGGGTCCAGGGCTCTGGCTCCATAAAGCCGGAGGATTCTAGCTCAGCTGCTATGAGGAACTAAGCCGGAGGAGCAAAGGGGAGCAGGAATCCAGAAATCTTCCGAAAACTTGCAAGTTTCTGGCAGGTGAGACTGCTCGAGTCCCTGGAAGGGAGGACAGCCGTGGAGGGCGGCGGTAACTCCTGCGTCAAGACACGGGGCGCAGGACCGAATGCCAAGGTTCTACCCTGAGAAGGGAACCGGTGCGGTCGGGTTCAAGCTGCCAATGAGATGGATTTGAGGATGTCAGTGTGTTACCGTAGTTGATGGTATCAGGGGAAACCTGAAGAGAAGGACAAGGAATAGTTAAGAGGAAAAAGCAGGCACAGCGGGAAGACGGTTTCTCCGGAGGGGCTGGCTCCTCTGCCCCCCCCCCCCGGCCCCTTCTTCCTAACCAAGACAGTTTTGAGGGGAGGAAAGGGAAGATGGGGGAAGGTTCAAGGACTTTGGGCAAAGTGCTGTCTTCAAATAGGACCTATTCATTGCAGCTGAGTAAATGTTGATTGAGAAATTGGGAGTTTTCCAGCCGTGGGGATATTAAGAAAAGATCGTCCGTGATGTGTGGGATGCAAAGTGACAGTATGACTGCACAGCTATGAAATGAGTAATGACACGGTTTCTATGCACTCGCAAGGTTGCCTACGTTAACTCTTGTCATTCTAAGAACAACCTTTGGTATGAGCAACATATACATGCAAAAACTGGCCCAGTGATGAAGTGAGTTCTCGAGGTCACAGGGCTGACAAACAGCAGTGGCACACAGTCCAGCCCCGAAGTCTGTCCTTAGCTTTGCTGCCTCTGTTAGAGCTATACAACAAAAGCTGAACTGAAACAATCCCGTAGCATCCAGCTTTGTACAGCTAAGACAATTCTTTTTGAGATCATGGGACCCTGCACGATAGCCTAGCAGGTAAATTCCTGGCCTTGAATGCGCCGGGATCACTTCTGGGTGTTGGTTCTAGTCCCAGCAGCCCCACTTCCCATCCAGTCCTTGCCTGTGGCCTGGGAATGCAGCTGAGGATGGCCCAAAGCCTTGGAACCCTGCACCCGCATGGGAGACCTGCGGGAAGCTCCTGGCTCCTGGCTTCGGACTTATTCAGCTCCAGCTGTTGTGGCTGCTTGGGGAGTGAATCAGATGGATGGTTCTCTGTCTCTCCTCCTCTCTGCAGATCCGCCTTTCCAGTACAAATAAATAAATCCCATGGATAATTGTACCTTTCAGTGCCATACATAGAATTTTTAAAGGTTTATTATTATTTTTTTAATTGAAGAGGCAGGTCAAATTTATAGAGAGAAGGAGAGACAGAGAGAAAGATCTTCTGTTCACTAGTTCACTCCCCAAATGGGCTCAACAGCCAGAGCTGAGCTGATCCAAAGCCAGGAGCCAGGATCTTCTTTCTCATCTCTCACACGATTGCAGGGTCCCAAGGCTTTGGGCATCTTCTACTGCTTTCCCAGGCCACAAGCAGGGACTGGATGGGGAATGGAGCACTTGGGTCATGAATTGGCACCCACATGGGATCTCAGAGTTTACAAGGTGAGGATTTAGCCATTGAACCATTGTACTAGGCCTACGGTCCATAGAATTTTGTACCTAATAGCAGCTTAATAAGTGACTAGCAACGATGAACTTCAGAGAAAGAAAAATTGGAAGAGTGAAGACAAATGGAATATGTTTATAATGAAATAGGAGTGGTTGTATTCTCAGCTGAGCATTTCTCATGGCACGTCTTCTCACTTTGCAGATTGGTGAAAAGCACTGTTTAAGCAGCTCCGAACTATGTGGGGTAAAAGCTAGAGCAAGGAGTCCAGCACCCCACACGCCCGGGAGTGCTGTTGGCTGCTGTCCACATGGTTGACCTAAGAAGAATCGGTTTCCTGCCCCAAAGTGAGGTGAGTCCTCTCATTAAAACTTTGTCTCAAACTGAACATCTTCGTTACTTCCTGTTGAGGTGCTCAGAGCCCTGAACTGAATTTCTAGAGCCACAGATTATGGGATGATGAGCACCCACGTTTAACAGATTTGGGCTTGACTCCTGGGCTTACTGTGCCATACCATCTGGCATTGAGCTTAGTGCACAGGGACTGACATAGCGTCCTCCACATCTGATCTCTGAAAGTAAGCAACAGCCAGCAAGCGAAGAAACCACAGCAGTTGTATTAGCTGGTCTGATCAACAGACCATGAAATCTATCCATGTCATCTGAGGGGTTTGTTGTCAGTGAAAAAGCAGGACAAATGAATGCAAAAGTCCTAAGTTTAAATTCAAGCTCCTTGAGCAATCACCTATCACCCAGTGCTGTTTATTGTACGAAAAGGTGATTCAAAGAGCTATTAGGACTGCAAATAAAACAATGTACTATTAAGCAAGAGATAGTACAATAGATGTTTACCTTGTCCAATATCAGTGATAATCAAAACATTACTCAAGAATATGAATGTACAGGTATAATCTTAATGTGAAAAATACCAATGATTTATGTAATAAATCCATGCACGTAGATACTTTAATCAAGACATACACTGATGACTAATCACTTTTAGAGCAGATGATTGGGGTTAGGGAAGCTGGCAGCTCGGAATGGAAGAAGCCTGATTTTGTTGCATCATCTAGATCTTTGAAATTTTTAAACCATATGTCTTGCTCCATGTATAGTAATAAAATACGTTATTAAAATTACCATTGATAAATTTTGTACAGAAAGAGGTATTGATGGGGTAAGGGAGAGCGAACACCTGAAAAGATGTGGTTGTGTCTGAATAAAGCTGTTGTGCAAGAGGAAGATACACACACACGCAGTAGAGCTATGGGAACTCTGAGCACACGGCACAGAGGCCAGTGCTTGCAGCCTCAACGCAGTCATGTGCACGCTCACCTGTGTCTGTGCTCGGCCGGAGGATGGATGAGCCCAGACGTCGGCTGTTGCACAAAGTTCATGGAAATGGACTTAAAAGATGAATCCTGATTTTATGAAAACTTTTTCAAAATTCATGTGTAGTTCACTCAAATTACACATTTTCCCTGAACCTTTGGAAGATACGTCTGGGATTCAAAATTGAGGGTAACAAATTCACTTTTTCATTCCATTCATTGCCCATGAACTTTATGAAGCTCCTTGGTAGTTGAATGTCAATACAAGTTTCAGTTTTGCTCTGAGGACACACCTATTATTGAAGCTTCGTGCTGAATGCCTGATACGTGGTTTGGTTAGTTCCTGCAACCCTGGGGGAGGGTCTGCCTCCACCCAGAATTTCCTGTGCAGCCCATCTATGCGCTGTGAGTCACCTGTGCTGAATTCCTTTGTTACTTATAATAAAGCATACTTAGCAGCAAAGAGCAGCAGTCCCAGCCAGTTTTCTGGTTCGCAATTTTGGTGCCAAGTGAGTGGAGGGAGTTTCAGTGTATCATCTTTTTTACCAGGATGGGCTCCTCTGGATTAATCTTCCACTGTATTAAAAAACCCTTCAACAATATCTTCTTGTAGCCCTTCAATGACTCTAGTTTGGATTAGACCTCAAAGTGGATCCCACATGTTACTTTATTTAATCTAACCTGAATTACCAGATTATGTGGCCAGGATGAGTTAGCTAGGCAGAAGAAAGGCAGTGAGTTCCCTGGAAAGGAAGCTGGGCACCTGCCGAAACTGAGAAATTGGAACAGCATGACCATCAGTCCAGCATGATAGAGCAGGGACTCTGGGACTTAGGCAGGTGTCAGAGTCATTTGGAGAGCTCATTTAAACAGATTGCTGATCCTACACTCAGACTTTCTGATCTGTTAGATTTGGGGTGGTGGCTTGAGCAGTTGGGTCTAACAAGTTCATATGTGATAATGAGTCTGCTGGTCCAAGGGCCACAGTTTGAGAACCAATGATTACAAAGAGCTAGTAAATAAACTAGTGCAAACAGTATCTAGAGTGGTAGCCAGGGCTTGTAGGCCAAGAAACCTAAATGATATCCTAAAGGGCAGAGACATGACTCAGCACAAATTTTGAAAATGTCATTTGGCAATGAGAGAAAGGGGTTATGGAGGGGTCAAGGGCCTGCCTAGCCTGGAAGCTGGGAAATATTTGAAAATCTTGTCTGAGGGAGATGTGTGATGGTGATCGGTGACACCTTGGGGATTAAATTATGTGGAATTGATCTTGGGGCTTGCAAGGTGAGGATTTAGCCATTGAGGCATCACATCGAGCCCTAAATAAATCTTTTTAAAAAGAATACTGTGCAATGTACATTTACAAACCATTAACTGATTCCCTCTAAAAGCAGAACTCAAACTGGTATCTAAACATCAACAGAAACTATACGCATCAGAAAATAGGAAAATGGGAAGGCGGCTTCTTCCTATGGTACTAGATTCAGGTTGTAGCTCACCGTACCGGCTATAGCATCAGAACGGGGTTGGTATCTACTTTCTTCCCGGGTGTGTCACTTTAAACACCTGTGAAAGAGTCCATGACTTGCCAATGTTACTCTTTCAAGGCTGCAAGCAGGATTAAACGAGATAATAAAGGTAACACTGCTAGTGCACTGTTGGACCTCCTGTTGTAATTGACTGACAAATATTTTGATCACAATAAACACGGAAAAAAGTTTAAGTGAATTAAAGTGCTTTTGTAAAGAACAGTGGAAAGAACTGCTTGGAGGTCTCTTAAGAGCTAAAGGTGCATGGGAAATGGTCCCCATGGTGAATAAGGCACAGCCGGCGCCTTAGCATGCTGCTGCTCAGCAACGTGCCCTCGGGTGCGTGATTCCATCACCCTTGGCTTCCACTCACAGTTCTGGTCAAGGAGCAGGTGCAAGAACCTTCCAGTTCCAATGCCTTATCTGTGCAGCCAAGAAGTTCCCACAAAGGAGCAGAAGTATCAGGACTCTTCCTGTGAACCAAAAATTCTAGTTGCCACATCGAGTTGATGTTCTTGTTTTATTTTTTTCAAACCAAGCGCCCATTGACATTCAGCTCTGAGTGTGAGAAGTCAACAATGACCACGTCACAGTATCCCAGCAAGTAGCTGCTTCCCGATCCCCTGGCAGTGTGAGGAATAAATATAGACACACCTGAGATTCAAATCCAACTTTAATACTCGTATAACTCCGATTTTCTCATAGTAAACAAAGATGTAAGTACAAAACATGAACCCATGTCATCTTATCAGTAGTTCTGAGCAGTCACAGTGGTCAGGCTCAGGGTCGGCGCCGAGGTCACACATCTCACTCTGTTTCAGTGGAACCCACATTTTGGCAGTTGGAAGACAAGAGTGAGGTTTGCTTTGTGCGAAAGGTATTCACCTTACTGGAATGCAGCTCTCTCTCTAGCCTGTTTTTTTTTTTTAAACTGTTCATGTTCCTCTACTGTTAAAAGTGCTAAAGAACTGTAGGAACCCCTGCTTCCTGAAATAAAATAAACTATTTATGCCTTGCATTTCCAGGTCAGTGTTGCTGGTTAAATTCCCTTAGGATTAGCAATTCATAGACAATCAGTTGTTATCACGCTTGCACATCAGAAGTACAGCTCAGAGTTCACAATACAATGCCCTGTGGTATAAAGTGCCTATGAGCAGCTTCCGGTCATAGACGGAGGCCACAGAACTCCCCTGCAGAACAGATCCGTTGTTGGCGTAAACCGTGGTCACTGTGGGCTTCTCCGATAGAATATTCTGGATACGAAGAACCTATTCGGGAGAGATTATGTGTTAATATAGAACTACCACGCACCATGTCACCCAGTCTCCAAGGTTCCCCGTCTCCCACAGTGACACAATGATTGAAGAACATAAAACTGAAAAGCAGTAGCTACTGATCATTTTAACATGCAAGTCAAGGTACTTCTAAAACCTGCAGAGCGTAGTTTCTTAAATCATCTAGTTGCTCCACACCAGCACAGGGTTTAGTGTTACTACAGCAATTCACCGTTAGTGAAACACACTGCTGTACCTACTTTCACACTACTTCAACATGAAAAACGATCCTACCATGTGGTGAGCTGACACAAAACAAGATATTTTAAGATTTTCCAGTGTACCACACAGTAAGGACATATGTCTTTATAAAAATGCTGTTTGACTAGTTTCCACCGTAATTTAATATATCAAGAGATTACATTAAACAAAGTAATTGAGTAGTTTAACGTTTTGCCATGATTGACTTACAGCAACTACAAAATCATTACATAAGTTTCTCATATTATTGGTTTACAAGAACTAAACAAACTGTCCCCATGACAAACTTATTGTATTAGTTCAAAAGGGGTTGGGTCATCAAGGCAACGGGCATACAAACCTCTGAAGAGGGAGGATTGTTGGGGTCGTACACATAGACCTCCTGGCCATTCGGGTGGCAGCCTGCCCAGATGTCCCCAGAGGAAGGATCCACAGATAAATTATCCACCAGGGTATCCAACTGGAGCACCTTTCAAATGAAAGCATGTCAGTGCCACGGGGAAGCTTGATACACTGAGCCTACCCTTCCCTTTCTGATGCATGTGGGAAAACTAGGTACATCTCCTTCCTTCCCTCTAACAGCAAGATTCCTTAAAATAAATTTAATAAACATTAGGAGCCACTCTTCATCTTTGCTGAAATTAAGGAAGTGAGGCTGATAATCAATCTCTTACAAAAAATAAGTTCTCTCTTAAAAGATAGATAGTCATGAGTCAGCTCAAGGAACTCAATCAAAGCAAAAATGGAAAATTCTTAATCTAAAATATGGGTTGTTCAGCAGGAAGAAAATAGTGATGGTGTGGAGCCCAATTTCTGCCTTCATTTATTATTGAAGGAACTGACAACATGCATAAATCTTCATTTGAGAATTCATCCATTAGTCTTTTCAATTGTGAAAATTCTCATTGGAATTCATCAGTGCTATCAATGCTTTGTGAAACAGTCCGCAAGTCAGAAGCAAATTTCACTTAATATTCTGCTGCTGCATGTAATCATGGTTGGTCCACTTGTGGCCACTGGGAACAAGAGATTTTCCAGATATACTGGAGTCATATTTTAAGACTCAGAATAACTACCCGGGCTCCCATAATCTAAGGATGGCATTGCTAAAATACAGAACAACTCTACTTGCAATGAAAAACAGACTATTGTCTTCTTTATGCATAAAAAATGTTACCTTTAGTTGAGTTAAATTCATATTAGCTTGTTTTTCCAACACATGAATTTCATGAGCCAATATGTCAGCGACATAGATATACCTTTGCAAAAAGAACACACTGGTTAGAGCTCCCTGACAACTGAAGCTTCATTAAGACACTATGAAAGACCGGGGTTAAATAATCTCCCAAGATGTAAATCAATGATAGGCCTCTAAGGGAAGCTTGATAAAGGTCAATTTTTATTTAAAAGGCAAGCTCTCACAATCAATTAAGTGGTGCTACAGCAATCACCTAATTATTAAATTATTTTTTAAAGGTTTGTAAGGAGAAATAACACATCATTTTTAATAGAATGTCCGTGCTATCTGCCACTGAAATGAATACAAAACCACTATTTGCGTTCATAAGAAAAGCACTTACATCCCACAGTCATTGGTACTTCTAAATATTACTTAGGTTTAGAAATACAGAGGATAGCACACATTTAAAAAAAAATATTGGTTACTGTTCATGCTTAATAAAATAATACATTGAGATTGTTGATAGGAAGAGATAAATATTCAGAACAATCTGTGTCCATCTAAGGACAGGGGCGTCAAATCATGGACACATTTGTGGTCATTTTGCTCACCGATGGGACTAATCCAGGGCAACTGTTCTAGGGAACAATTACATGGAAAGTCACAACTTCAGGACTGTGGCAGATATAAACAGCAAGAAACAGCCTCTCTCCTCCAACACATATACTGTGTTGGGACATGATCAGACAAGTTCAAATGCACTAGACATCTAAGTCAGCAGAATTGGAACTGTGAGAAGTTACTCAGGTCTAGAGACTAAAGACACATCTAACACCCGAGTTCAGAGAAAGACACACAAAGAAGGGGTATCTGTAGTGATTGTGAACAGAAAGCAGCTTCCAGGCAGGAGAAAACACATGAAGCCTAGGGACAAGAACGTTTAAAGCATGGAGCATGGAGGCAACAGCAGGAAGCACTGGTAGCAGTGTGTTAAAGAACAGCCAACCCGTTAGCCTGCTTCGATTCTGCTAGGCAGCTGCAACTTTTTGAATAATCAAGGGACTTAACATTGCAGTCGAAGAGCAGGCGAGCACTAAGATTGTGCCTTGCCATTGTGCGGGGCAGAGGGGAGGTCCAAGATAAAGACAGGCCTGGGAGCCCTTAACAGCTATAGGACTGCACAAGGACAAAACTGGCAGGAGCACAGAAATGGAAGTAGAGCAGAAACAATTTGGAATAAAATCTCCTTCTGTAGCCAAAGAGGATGAGATGCCAGACCAAGCAGCTGCCAGTGGGAAAGTGGGTGGAAGGTGGCACCGTCAGAACCAACAGTCCTATGTTCCCTATGTTTCTAACAATGATCAAAGAGGGGCTGAAGCTGAACTCTCTTTTCATGATGATCGGTTTTAAAATTTTATATTATTTATGTATTATTTGCTTAGGTGATAAGAAAGTTTGATTCTTGGGAAATATAAAAATTGGAGAGAAAAATGGTTTTGGCTAGAAAAGTTAGATCATGTTATCGTGGAGAGAAATGAAATCATGCTACATTTATCTTCTGTAATCAACAAAAGAGGAGATTCTATCCTGAAACCAAAATCATTCAGTTGTCAAGGAATGCCAAATTTATTTCATGTTACATCTGTACTGGTTTCTCTGCTAATACAGAAGAGAAAGCTTACACGGAATTTAACATCCTTCCGTATAGGTCCTGATGGTTCTGTATATAGAGATAATGAGGTTCTTTTAGAGGATGATTTGGCAATACCTGCTGACATTAACATTTAAAGAGTCCCTACTGCTTCACAGAAAAAACTCCAGCGAACTGGTTAGTTTAGAATCATCCTGATTAATGCAATATCATGTATCCAATAAGAACAATGACGTATTTCTTTAAAAGGAAATACTTAACTGATATTTTAATATGTACAGATAAATTTGATCCTGCTTTATTAAAATTTACATTAATAAAATGGAGCTTGATAGTGACATGTAAAAATCTATATATTAAATAAAATATTTATTGTATATACTTACGCATAACATGAAATATATACTGCACATAAGTATACATTATATTTAAATTCATTGACTATGTATAGAGTAGATATATACTTATTTGTATGTAAGTATATATTTGTGTTTGTTAATCATATACCCAAAATTTCAAGACAACTATTTTCATATATAGAAAACCAATGTAAAGAATGAGGCAAGCATGATGATTAAGGAAAAATAAAAATATTTTGTAAGGTCATACTTTTTATCAGGTGAAATATTGATGCCATTTGCTGAATCAAATCCTTCTGCTACCACTTTAACCTCATCTGGGCTGTAGTAAATCACAGTGGCCCAGTGCAAGTTCAAGTATGTTTCCAAATACTTTAAGAAAGGATCCGAGAAGTAGTGGTCATTGGTGGCATAGAAGTGTGCTGGCCCAACAGCTATGACATCATTGACACTGAAAGAGAAAGAGCACGTGAGAGAAAATACAAAGCCTGGAGGATCTCCATATTCAAAATATCCCCAAGGATACTACATTTGCTTTAAAGTTTGGGTAAGTGGTTTTCTAGGAAAAGGTATGCTAAAATCACACATCTGTAGTTGTATGCCATATACCCTAATAATATTTATAAGAACAATTTGTATGGCACTAGCTAATTTGAAGACAGGTCATTTAGCAATCATGGTAGGATTATCACAAAGGAAAAGGGAGAACTTGGTGCCAAAAGAGTATGTTTCTTTTGACAGCAAGCCATGTAGAGTTTAAGGATTATACCTAAGGACAATGCTGGCCATGGCACAAAGTCAGAGGTAGCCTGACTGGTGAGAGGATCAGGCCATCAGTAACATTACCTAGCTTCCATTGACTCAGTTGTTGGATTCTGCTGAGTTCCCTTGCATCGTTATTAGTCAAACTCAGGTTGACTGTTCAATTTCTACCTGCCTCCCAAGGCCGACATGTGGAGAATGAACAGGCACTCAATAAACAGTTGGAGAGAAATGGATGATGAAATGGCCCCAGCACAATGCTCCAGAGATTGATATGCTAAAAACAATTGCATTTTGAAAGCCAGTTAAACAAGGGTGTTATTAAATTTAAATTCCAATTACCCTCTTAAAGAATTTCTAAAAGAGCTGCTTTATCTTTTTGTTAAATGAAAAAATACAGATCTGCAGGGAAGAAGGGGGAAGCTCTTTTTCTCTGAAACAGCTCCATACTGCAGGTGCTGCCTGACTGGTGGGCATGTGTCTGTGGATTAGCAAGGGCATTTCAGGAAGAATGGTTGGAAGCTACCTGCTTCCGCCCTAGAAGGGGCAGCAGAAATTAAAAATATCCATCAAGCTGAAACTGAGAGCAGCAGCATGTTCATGCACCATGAGCTGGAGGGATCCAAGGCATTCTCTATTAGCCACATCGCTCAGAAACGTCATGTCAGAGCTGATAGGCCTCTGATCCCATAAGGCCACCCTTTTATAGGGGTGGTCAGTAGTCACCATGTATCCTGTGAAAGCATCCTGTATAAAGTCCCACACAAAGATGCAAAGCCCAAATTATGAAACGGGCTATTGTCTCTTGGCAGGTCAGGCATGCTGAACTAGGTGATGAGTCATCTAAGGGGGAGACAGAGAGCAGACATATTCCATATGCCATGCTCTCCCTGATGCACAAGGAAATCATACAAATGCATATGTGTATACAGGGCAAACAGCTCTTATGTAAAAGGCATGGGATCAAAACTGCTTTGTAGTTCTTCAGATTTGGAGATAGTTCTGTGTATATAACAATGTATCTTGAAGACAGGATCCAAGCTTAAAAAGAAAACTCATTTGTATTTTATATATATATGTCATTATAAATATGACATTTTATAAAATATTTTTAGGAATTATATGCATAAAAGTAAGCTTCATAGTATGGAATTTTCCATGCATGTCAAGTCAGTGCTGAGAAAGTTTCAGCTTGGGAATGCTTCAGATTTAAAATTTCAGATTCTCACACCGGGAGTGCTTAACCTGTGCAAATACACATACAGATGCAGATAAAGAGTGAGATACAAGCTCTTGCATTATAGGTGTTACATATTGTATATTAGGTTAAGCTATTCATGGATTTATCAAAGATAGTATCTTGGTGAAAAAGTTTTGAAATTTTATATATGAAAGCTCTTCACAACATTAATAGAAAATGAATATCCTGAAAACATACGCATGAATTTCCAATACTTTTGCACAAACATTCTAGAGAACTTTTTGCGTATTAGACCTTATTTACTAACTAGCAAACGGGAAGAGGACCATGGATCATTGGGAATATTTTTAGATGCTTGAGATACACAGGAGACCAAAGTAAAAGAGGAGGAACCTTGGAAGAAGCTCATGTCTGATTGTTTTCAGGTGCAAAAGAGAATTTTCTTCTTCTTCAAATTTAAAAATTTCCACTGTATTCTTGAATTCCGGGTGGTTTACAACAAAGAGATAAACTGTGTCATCTAAAGAATTGAAAGAACCAAGTTAATTTACGAGGCATAACAATGGCACCTCTGGGCAGACGCTGACATTTAAATGCTCTGGCAATGAAAGGTTGCCTGTGTCAGCCCGAGAGGTGATTGGGCATCCCACTCGTGTCCCCATCTTCCCTGGTATCAACTCCGTGTTATTTCTGATCGTTGGGCTTCTGACCTTTAAGAACGAGCGTTTCCCACTCCATATATGGAATTCATGTATAATCTATTTACAGTTTAATTCAGAAATATAGCTGTTTTTCCATACGACAACAGCTTTATGAAAAGGTTATGAAATCTAAGCAGCCAGGTGTTAACTGTTAAAAGTTTCAAAATATTACAGAGCTAGCTGAAGAGGCAAACAACCTGTTTGTATGAAAAATACAGAAAGTATTCATGAGTGAATTGTTCTCTGATGCATAGAATCCAAGTGTACTTTCTGCAGTTATTTGGGAACCATTCTATATTTCTCCATCTTGGTAGCTCTTCGGTTCTTACCACGATCTATGAAAGTGCTGATGCCATGTGGATTGAATGAAGCCAAGTCAAAACCCCGGCTGATTCTTACTTCCAGCGCCCTTGGTTTATTTTCATTTAGATCCATCATTAGTATTCCACCAGGCTTATCTGGTGCAAAGCTGTGGAGTCCGGGACATTTCAGGCCCTGTCCAAAACAGTGGGGGGAAAAATGCAAAGGCTTAAATATTGTTATAGGTTGAAGTGCAAACTTTACATGACAAGTAGATCAAAGATGGTGATACAGAGCCACAAAGAAAGCAGAAAGAAGATCCTAGAAAACAAACAAAAACACCCCCCCCCCAAACAGTCAATGAGAGTTAGAAAGCTGGAAAAATGGCTGATTTCGTCAAAATTCAGAGAGCAGGTCAAGGACTGCGGGTCTTTGGGGGCGTTCTGGTGGCCTGCGGCATTGCTGGTAGACGTGAGGGTAAGATAACCTCCACTCCACACTGACTGTGGAGTCTCAGGGCGAGAGTGGTGCCTGCTGCTTCCAGTTACAAGCCGCCCTCAGTCTGCACTCCCCCACTCATCTCACATCTCATCCAATCCACCAGCCAATCCTGCTGGCCTTACCTTAACAACGCATCCCTTCCTAAGCACGTGGACAGTCCTCACCACTTCCTCCGCAGCCACCCTGGTCTAAACCACTGCCACGATTTGACAACCGCTCCCTAACTGCCTTTCTGCTTGCCTTCTTTCCCCCCTCGTGTCCAAGCTTGCCTCGGCATTCAGATGTCCCATGTGTGATCAAAATCCTCTGGCGGCTTCCTCTCACGCTCCATTGATCAGGATAATTTTGTACAAGGACCTAAAGGCCATGTATGACCGGCCCCACTCTCCTCTCCCCTGCCCCTGCCACACCCCAGTCACCCTACTGCTCTCCTCACACTTCCTGATGTCTTTCACAGCTGACTATGTCCTTCCCTGAGAGCGCTTTCACAGTTTCTTCTGCCCAGGAAGGCTTTCCCTCAGGTATCTGGATCCTTCCCTCAAATACCTTCTCTCTGCTCCTGATGTCACTGGTCTCAAGGACGCCAACCACATCACAATCCCCACTCACCTTGCCACTCTCTGTCCTCTTTCTATGGATGTATACATTTTTTTTTCTCTATTTACCCTTATTGCAAGGACACCTCAAAAAATTCAAGAAAAAATGTAATTAAAAGGTACATTTATTTGAATGCCAGACAATTTTGAAATCCATGCCTCGTCTTTCATAACATGCTTTTTCCATGAGCTTTTGCAACACCCCTCCTATATGGGACATGAAACACGTGTACAGGATGTAATACTGTCTGTTGGTTTTTCTCAGTGTACAAGAATACTGCTCAATTTCTTGTGTTCATTTTGAATCCAATAATTTTATTGAGCTCTCTCAATAGCAGTCTATTTAGTTCTATTTCTTGGAGATTTTTTTTTAAATAAGCAAATTCTCTGGGAATAGTGGTATTTTTCTCTTTCTGTATTTCACATTTAGTTTTTCAGTTAGCGCTGGTTGTGGGGTTGCTGGACATTTTCTTACTCTCTGACTAAACAAACGGGGATGCAGCTCATTTGTCAGTAGGAGTGATGCTTGCTGTAGCCTTCTCTGCTTGGAGGTTTCACTCAGGAATGAGCACTGACTTTAATGTATGGTGAGTACTCACTAAGCTCTAGATCATTGGAATCAGTCAACTGGTGCATTATTTAACAATCAAATCAGATTAAAATTTATGGTAGTGAACGTAGCAGCTTAGTTTACTAATATAATGCAGTCATATCATATGTACACTGAAATAGTGCAGTAAAAAAAAGTTCTACTTTATGCACAAAACTGGATATAAAGAAAATATTTTCTACTTAAAAATCTATGTATAATTGCATAATTTCAAGGCTGGCAGTGTCAGTAGCATGAGCTGAAACTTGTTCTATTGCTCCACAGAAATGGCTCTTCCATTGTTAATCATCTCTGTTCTTAATTATTGTCCCAAAACAATGACATGCACAGGAAGTTCTACCAGGTGGTGATAAGTAAACAGGGTTATTTTAACATCTCCTACTATTTAAACCTTTTTCCTAGCTTTAGAAATCGAGTGCAATAAAATAGACACATGCAAAACTCATTACCATTACCCCTTCTACGTATATAGTTAATGAATTAAGCATGCAAGCATTGTTGTTGAAACTTTTCTTCCTATTCTATTCTGTCATCCAGTCCCTCTTCATGTATGATGTTAATTTTGAGGTGACCTTCAAGGCCATAAATGTAGAATGAAATAACAAAATTCTAAAAAAACAAACATACACAAATCCCCCCCGACCAATTACTATGATATTTGAGCTGTTTATTTAGAAGGGAGAGCAGTTTGGGAAGTGTTACAGAGACAATGCTGAGTAAGCAAAAACAATAGTGGTAGAGCGGGGCTGTGTATAAATTATTCCCCACCCCCAAAATCACATAACAAAGCATGATAATAGAAAAAGTAGATTTTCTGTTGATTGATCATGGCAACTGTAATATGTCCCACTGTGATAATGATTATAGACTTATGGGCTTGGGAACTGCTAGATTTTGAGCACGATTTGACTATTCAATCATACAGATGTTTAAACCCCAAAGCCTTGAGTTGGCCTTGTTGGTAGGGTGGAGATCTGATTGAATTGTGGTATTGAGGAGCAAGGCTCCATGGGAAGTTACCGTAGTTCCCGGGGGACTGTGCCCATGGAATGTGGTTCTTGAGGCAGCACTCACTGTATGAGCCTGAGTGGGGCCAGCTGTTCTCTGTGGCTGCTGCTTGTCCCACCACACTATCCCTCACCATGGAACACACATTCCATCACTGTCATCCCCTGGCCTCATCCATTGACTGAACCAGTGGTGCCTCTCTGATGTTGGACTGTGACCTTCCAACACCAGAGATTTATTTATTCTTATTGCAAAGTCAGATATACAGAGAGGAGGAGAAACAGTGAGGAAGATTTTCTGTCCGTTGATTCACTCCCCAAGTGACTGTAACGGCCGGTGCTGCACCGATCCTGAAGCCAGGAGCCAGGAACGAGGAACTTCCTCCAGATCTCCCACACGAGTGCAGGGTCCCAAGGCTTTGGGCCGTCCTCGACTGCTTTCCCAGGTCACAAGCAGGGAGCTGTATGGGAAGTGGAGCTGCCGGGATAGAACCAGCACCCATATGGGATCCTGGTGCATTCAAGGCAAGGACTTCAGCCGCTAGGCCATCAATGCTGGGCCCTAAGCCTCCTTTTTAAAAGTAGTCTGTGTTTTCATGATAGTTAGGAAAAGCTGACTCATTGCTACAGAGACCCAGTCTCTCTCACTTGAGATTTTTTTGAGGGAAGCAGAGGATCCTGAAATGTGCAAGTTCTGAATTACATGAATCTCCAAGAAACAAAGAAGCAAAAATACAAATGCAACTGCTTTGGGCTTTATTTGGAATATCTGTATCTCGGCTATAAAATAATTTTGACCTTTAGTCCCACTGCTTTATTCCAGATCTATAGACATATGCACACACACAGTCTTAGAATAAATACCACTTGATTCATGCTGTGAAGGCAATTAAATAAACCTTTTCTCTTAAAAGCATGTTTTAAAAATTAAATATAAACACAAGTGTTTTTGCTGAAGCCCATGGTACGTCTTTTTCCCCTCATGGAAATTTCCAGTTGCTCACAGTCGTTCATACAAACACCGAGAGAAGTGTGGCCTGACCTCATTCTCCTCCAAGCCGAGTTCTCTCACTCGTCTCATAAACCTGATTGCATTAGTGCTGTGACTTTCTTTTTTATATTTTTTTTATCTTATTAATAGGGTGTAATTATTTTATTGGTCATAAGTGGGGTATTCTTTTTTTTTTTTATTAATAAAATTAATTTTGACATTCTTCACATACTTAGTTAGAGTAAGAAGGTTCAAGGGCTACAGGAAAGTGGATAATACTAGTACGTTTTCCATATTGTTACCTTCATGTTAAAAAGGGGGGTATTAAGGGAGAAGGCCCACCCAATTTCCCACCCTCCCCAAGTCCCGGGTGTAGGGCATGCTCTGAGGTTCTTCCTCGAGTGGTTTTGATATTGCAACAGTTATGAATCGCTGTCAATCTTGCCACTCCAAGCACTATGAGGTACAAGAAGTTTCTTTGGAGATCTTCCTAATCTAAATGCTGGACTCAGAACCCTAACGAAGAAAAGAGAGAAGACAGAACAGGTCAACCAACCATCTCAGCTATGATGGACTATGTGAATCAGTGGATTTTTCAAAGACCTCATAGTGCTGTGACTTTCTTATAAAGTAACTCCAAGTTTTTCACATCCTTTCTGAATCTCGGAACCTGGAAATTATGGCTACTCACAGAGAATCCAATCACTGCAGGCAGCCCTGAGTCATACGTTTCTGTTTCAAGAAGAACTTGACTCAGGAAGTGGCCCAGGATTCTCACCTGTGCCCACACAGGGAAGGGGAGTGGCCAGAGCTTCGTCCTCTGTCCCCTCTCCTGAATTTTCAGTTAGAACAGATGTGGATGCAGCACTACGCGATTCATTGTAAAGGCTCACTATTGTACAGCCACGAAGAAGGTAACTTTTCAGTGTGTAAGAATGGATGCTGAATGGAGGGTTTCAATACACTCACGTCACAGCTCTCCCCTTCTGATAACTATTTAGGGGGCGAGAAAGAAAAGACAATGATCCTGAAATAAGCAATAACAAATATGAATATGTAAAATTAAACACACTTAAAAACTGAAAATGTAACCATTTTCATTGAGAACAGCAGTATCAAATACCCACAAGGCTCCCGAAAATATCCTTTCAATGGCAGTTTAATTGAAATACAATGCATTGAAATACAGTTGCATTGAAATACAATAAATTAATGGGGGAGGGGGGCCTGTTTATCTCCATATATGGAGAAACTCGAGGTAGAACTTCTCAGGTCTTGTTGACCTCTGATTTCTAGAGGATATTCTAGAAGATGTAGACCAAATAGGCTTGAACTCCCTGTACTGAGTGTGGGGAAAGCGAAGTACTCACCACGCTAAAGAAGGCCAGGCCATTGGGCAGAATGTCGATGTCTTCGGAGCCAGCTTCTGCAAGTTCAAGGGACAGGCACATATCACACTCAGGTTCTGTTACCGTTACACAGCACGCTGCTAGGATGCTGGTTACTTTCTCAGAATGTCACTGTCTTTGGGGATGATTCTGGTTTTTTTTTTTTCTTTTTTGCCCAAGGAATCACTCTCTTTAATAGGCATCAGGCTAAACCTCTTGCTAAAATGCACTTCTGACTTCCAATGTTGGTTATTTTGTGTTTATCCAAATCAAAGTCAAGTTATCATCACGTTTCCTGATAACATACAGAAAATGTTGACATCCTGGGATACACATCCAGATGTCTGTATGGGAGTAATTGACATCAGGGGAATTTTACTTTCACGAAGGATGGCTCACAGTCACTTAACCATGCAAGCATCCCCTGTCCTCATCTCATCTCAAGCAGACATTTCTCTCCTTAACAGAGAGAAAGCACGTGGGATGCCACAGTCCCGTTTGCAGAAACAGTGCCTACTTGTTCTCAAAGGCAAAGAAAGCTTCTCATTTACTTCTAAAGGTGGGCTTTAAATTATAGGGGAAAACAGTGGAAGGAAATTAAAGAAAAATGCCCCACGCCTAAGCCAGTTGGTGCAGCTGGCATCCGCCTCCGAGGCAGCCCGTGATGGCTATTGATTATCTATTGATCGTCTGCAGTACTCGCCACAAAGCGCAGCAAGCAACGAGACAGACGACCTTCCTGGCCGTCTCACTGCGTAAATCCCAGAGACAGATAATAGACCCAAACAGAGAAGAGCGGACTAAAAATGGCTTAGATGAAGCCAAATCATGACACATTCTTTGAGTGCACAAGATCCAGTCTTCTTTAAGACATCTCCAAAGGGTTTTTCCAAGATTATTTCTAGGTTGTCAAGATCAACAGTATCTGTCTAGCCATTTAGGCTTTGATGCGAGAGTTTGTGTTTAATGGGTGGTCTCCAGTGTCAGCTTGCAGAAGAGCAAAACAAAATACCAATGCCATAGAACCTTCACTTTGTAAAGATGACTCGTCTACCTGGATTTAAAAAAAAAGATATCTACGGCCCTGCACGATAGTGTAGTGGTTAAAGTCCTTGCCTTGTATGCTCTGGGATTCCATATAAGCACCGGTTCTAATCCCGGCAGTTCCACTCCCATCCAGCTCCCTGCTTGTGGCCTGGGAAAGCAGTCGAAGATGGCCGAAAGCCTTGGGACCCTGCACCCACGTGGGAGACCTAGACGAAGTTCCTGGTTCCTGGCTGCTGGCTTCAGGAATGGCATAGCACTGGCCATTGCAGTCACTTGGGGAGTGAATCAGTGGATGGAAGATCTTCCTCTGTCTCTCCTCTCTGTATATCTGACTTTGCAATATAAATAAATAAATCTTAAAAAAAGAGAGAGATCTATTTATGCTTAGCATAGTGTGGTGGGAATTGTGCGGGCTGGCCTCCCTGGGCGCCCACACAATTACCAATGCTGAAATGCTGGACAAGGCAAAATGTTTGTGTATGTACAGAAAAGAACTTCTGTGTGAAAAGGTTCCTTGACTCTCAGAAGATTTAAAAAAGACTCGGATCCCTCCCCCCGCCCACAGAAATGGTCAGGAATCACCAGACCCTAATCTCAGGGTGGTTCTCAACTGTGAATAAGCAGGGACCAGGAGAATGCCCCATCACACACACAGGGTTGAATGAATCTCAGCACACACACACACACACACACACTTCTAGTTCAAGTTTTGCTTTCCAGATCCATTTAGTAGAAAATTCTTCAAGAACACGTCATTCCAATGTGTACATACATGCTTGTGGCATATGTAAAAACAATAATACTGAAAAAAATTTTAAATTAATTCTGTTACTTGGTGGCAGGATGACAAGAGATTTTATTTTTTCTACTTTTTCTACAAATTATTGTATTCGCAGTCAACAAAGAACAATGTCCTAAAAAATATCCTCATTTCAAGCACACTGTAACTTCTTTCTATTCAAAAGGAAGAAATGAATCCAACATTCTTGAAATATTTTCCAGGCTTACTCCCGCACCCTCATGTTGATGACTGCTTCCACCACAGGCCATAATAATCTCTGGTCACCTCTTAGATATGATTCCTGCAGCACAGTCAACGTTGCAGATATTTGTTCCCTATTAATAATATTAATAATAATAATAATAACAACTAGCATCCATAAAGTGCTACTCAGTATCACACTCCATGAAAGTACCGTGCATGTAAGATCTCCCATGATCTCACAGTGCTAACAGGAAACGTTCTTCCTTGTGTTACAGATGAGATGCAAGAGATTGTCAAAGATTGGGAAGCCGGCTCAAGGCCACACTCTGGGAGGCTGGGACTGACATTTGGTCTTATCTGAAAGCACACAGAAAATATCCAACCTGGTGTTTAACAAGCTTGCTCTATCAGCACCATCGCTGGCTCCTTTCTAGAGACATTTCCCTTTGGATGTTCATCTGTGGTTCATTTCCTAGGATGGCCTTTCTCCTCAAATGTTCACTTTCACGCATTTCCTGGAGTTCCTCACCAGTCCATGTCCTGTACTTTTCTTTAAAGTCCCTTTGAAGATGCTTCTTCTAAAGACTCTCCTGGCTTACTATAGCTAATTTCTATTTCCTCTCATTATGTCCTCAAGTATCTGTCTGCATCAGAAACCACACTCTCTTTCCTAGTGTCCAAACTTCCTTTCTCCCCTTTTAGCAACAGGCCACATGGCGACAGAGCTATAAACATCCCCACCCTTTCTTGCTGCTGGATGTAGCCATGGGTTCAAGTTAGGTTCAGTGGAATGTGAAAATGTAAGATGTCTGTAACCAACAAGAAGTATACAATTAAAATGATATCCATGTAAATCATCACTAAGGGTCCCGCACTCGGACTCTAAGATGGAGGCACTGTATGGATAATGGCTTCATTTCTGAAGTCCACACAGTACAGTCTTCTAAGGACCCTAGGTCCTTGGCTTACTTTTGGATGTTACATGAGAAAAAAAGAAATTTCTCTGCCCCAAGGTATTGTAACCTTGTAATAGGAGATATATCCTTGCGTATTCAACAGCTCATACAACAAGTCAAGGTAGCGTCTCATTTTCATTTGGATTCACTGGTTAGATGTGCATGTTAATGACCCTGGGCAAAGAAGACCTGCGGTCATCACTGATCCTGGGAGAGCCTCAGGTCGTTTAGTGTCATACAACTAAACAGGTATTTTTTGAGGGGTTTTCATAGAAAATTTCTAAAAATATGCATTACAAAGTCAGCATGCATGGATCTCAAAATGGGTTTGCCCTTAAATAAACTTATCTTTTAATTCCATTTGCCATGAGGTTTTGAATTCCACTCATGCCTCCAGGTGTTTTGTTTTGGCTCCTGCCCATAGGTAGACTGTAAAGCACTTGAGGACAAAGGCTTCACATTTCAATGTTTTTTTCCCCCCAATTTTCCACGGAGCAATTATATTTCCCTGGTCATTAAAACACTGGTTCAGATGGCTGTATCTCGTACTTGGAGTGCTTGGGTTTGGATCCTGGCTCAGATCCCAACTCCTGCTTTCTGTTAATGATCACCTTGAAAGGCAGCTGTTAATGCAGAAAGTCCTTGGCTCCATGATGCCCTACTGGGAGAGACGAATTGAAATCATGGTTCAGGCTCCTGGCTTTGGCCTGACTGAGCCAAAGTATCTGGGAAAGTGAACCAGTAGTTAATATTAATCTCTCTCTCTCTCTCTGTCACTCACTCATTCAAATGCTATACTTTAGTTAAGAACTGTGAATATGAGACAGTAGAATGAGATTTTTGGAAAATTTTTAAGTCTCAAATAAAGCTAGCTATATAGATGCTGGTATTGTGTCAAATCTTGGGTGTAAAAGCTTAGATAAGGAATTAATAAAAATATAGAATTGTGGACTTTCTTTCGCCAAATAGATATTATAGTCAGTGAATATTATTTGTTAAACAAGAAGACACATGATATGTACAAAGCCCTCAAGGGTCACAAAGAGTTCATTTTCGGTGATGGTGAAGATGGTGAACATAGCATTGCAGTGTGTTGATATTTTTGGTGCGTGTGTGTGTTGACAGTAAAAAAGAACAAGGGGAAGAAGTCTGTTCTCTTGACAGGATCGGATCTTTTTAGGTACACTCCTATCCACTTCCAAAACACAAAGTGAGACTTAAAATAAGGGGCTTTCTACCCTGTCTGCCCATGTAAAGAAGCAGTTCTGCCTCTTTAGGGAGCAGTGCGCTATTAGTGATGATCAAAGACCATGAGATAAACAACTGTTGTTAAAAGTATAGAACCACAAGTTATTATTACCCATTTTGCATCACAAATGCAGCATTCAATGCATGTCTCTCTGCTGTGTACTCACCACAGGGCAAAAGCAAAACAGAAGGGAAAAACAGCACAGTTCTAATTAGATCTGAAAACATATCCCAAACGCTCTCTGATCGCTCATCTTCCCCGCTCGGTTGCCTTTTGAAGCGCCTCAGAGGCATTAAACACTTCAGAAGAGGGGCCATAGGTGGCATATTTCTTCGTTCTTTCCAATTTCAGACAGCAGCTCACACATATCATAACATAAAGGTCACAGGAACAGACAGTTGCCTGTTTGGAATATAAATGTTGCCAAGCTTGCTTCATCTCAGAGGAGGCCTGGGTCCCAGGAGTTATCCCAGGCAGACACCTAACATTGTGTCGTCCTGTAATGCCTCTGCTTGTGCAGACTTGAATTTACAAAAGATGGGCACCCAGGCTCAGAGCTGTTTCATGATGTGGCAGTCACCTCCCCAGTTTTCCCAGAAGCCCTCACAGCTGCTTGCCTGGCCTGTCTTAGGGCCTGCTTCTAGGGGATTCTTACTGAATACGTAAAGAAGGCGGTAAGGAGTTGCTGCCACTGGGGTCTCTAGGAGCAACCTTGGTTCTAGAAGCTCTGAACTACAGCAGAGATGTGTGGTCTCTTTGGTATTTGGAACTAAATTTCCATCCTCCTAGGTGTTGGGGCTAATGAAATAAACAGGAGAAACAGCAGAAGCCATCAGCCAATCCATGGTAAGAGAGGTAGAATCGCAAGAACCCAAAAGAGCAATGGCAAAAAAAAAATTGATGAGGCAGAATACACAGGAAACAGACACGCAAAGCGCAAGAGGTAACAGATCTATAAAACTGCACAGGAAAAGAGGTGGCTGCGACAACTGATAGCAAGCTACAGTGAATGTAGCGATAAATATCTTTATATGTTTCTATTATTAAATGTTAGTGTTGTCAGCTCCCAGGCTAGTTAGCAAATGACGATCAAAATTCTAATCTTACCCCAACTGAAGGACAATCCTACTGCTGTCCACAGATGGACCAGAAACAAATACAAGAGCAATGATATCCACTCACTGGTCTGTAGCGTATTAGAAAAGAACTGGCTAGGCTGGGCATTGTTATGCAGCAGGGTGTAAGCCCATGCGTCTCCTATCAGAGTACCAGTTTGGGTCCCACTCCTTTTCAGATGCAGTCTCCTAGTAAGGTGCCCAAGAGGTAGCGGATGATGTCCAGATGCTTGGGATCCTGCCATTCGCAGGGCAAACCAAGATGGAGTTCCTGGTTCGTGGTTTTGGCCTGGCCCAGCCGTAGCTACTGTGGACAGTTGGTGAATGAACCAGTGAATAGAAGATAACTTTCTTTTTCTTTCTGTGTCTTGTTAGCTCTCTTCCTGTACTTCTTTTAAGTTCCACTGTCATTCGCCTTCAAATCAATCTTTTGAAAAAGGAATTGGCTAAATAAGTTGCCGTGTAAAAGAATGCTGTAAATCTACCTATGCCGATGCGAGAGTTGTTTACACTGTGTTGTGTGTAAAACAGGTCGTGGGATATTTATACTGAGATGACAATTTTCAGGGGAAAAAAACCCCTCCAGAAATGCATGGGAATGCATATATCTGTGTCTTGCACTGCAAATATCAGGGAGGACAGAAAGGAAAATCTCTGAGGTCATTTTGATGATGGGATGAAGAAGTTGTTAAGAAATGTGCATTTTTCATTCTGTATCTTTCTGTATTGTTTGAATATATGCTTGCAGGAACTTCACAGAGGAAGACTTTAGGGAGTTGTTAAAAACTGTAACAATACGCTGACTTAAGTAACCACACATATTATTAAATTTCAAAGAGCTAGTTCTGCAAGATCTACAACTTGATCTCATTTAGATTTTGTTTTAATCGCACGTGTGAGAGTATTCACAAACAGGAAAAGTGTCAGACGCTCAAAACTTAACAATGTTGCCTATGAGAAGATGAAGGGATACTTTCATGTAATCTGTACTTCAATTTATTAAAAAAAATGCAAGACTCTAAGTGACCCTGTCAGCTCTAGAGAAGGATGCTGGTATATGAGGACCAAGGGGCACATGACAGTAAGTCTAATAATTTGCACATTGTGGCTCTCGTCTGAAGAAGTAAAAGGTGGGATCTCATGTGTTTTTTTTTTTAAAGTACAAAAACCTTCAAGTTAATCACAAATTCACCAGTACAGGTGAAAGATACAAAAGTCAGCTTTGCCTGAGGTCATATTACAAATCTGGCAGAAGGAGTTGATCTGACTCCTCTCTCATTTTGTAATCAATCATACCTTAACTCACTGCCTCTCAGCAATGGCCAGTGTTTGTGCTGGTCATGGTTATTTCAACAATAACGACTGGGACTCTATTGTGCACCATGGATGTTGGCAGGTGGCAAAGGGTAAAAACAGCAGGACAAGGTCTTTGCCCTGGAAGAAGCTATAGACAAGCCGGGGGACCCCGGGTGCAAGGAGACAGTGTGGACACACCCCCTCACCACCGCAGCAGAATCAGGGGTGTGTTTCCAAAGACCCCTTCAAAGTCTTAGTCACTATACAGAATGAAACAGACACGGGGACTTATTAAGTGTTGCTCCCCTCCTACCACAACTCAGATAATGAACCATTTTTTTCTCCTCAGTACAGATTGAGAAATGTCTCCTATGCCTTAGGCATGAAACCAGATGTAGTTACAGAGCACTAAGCCAGATAAATAAAAGAAACTTGCAAAAGTTCCTGGAAAAATGAAATTAAAAGATTATTATTTTGGTACCAAAAATAATTTGAAATCTATGCACATGAGGGTTCTTCCAAAGGTTAACGTGAATAAGAAAGAAAAAAAAAGCTTCTATATTTTTTGTACCAAAATAAACTTACCTACCTTTTCAATTCATTTTCCATGAACTTTCCGAGGGTCACTAGAACTATTATCGCCTACACAGAACTTACTTAAAAGTGGAGTTAATGGGACAGAGACTTCAGTGGGCATTACAACAGATAACACAGACCCTGGAAAACCAGGTCAGAGAAGCTGAGAAACAACCAAGAAATCCAACAAAAGATAATGGTTTGTTCCAAAAAACTAATATATTACAATGAGCATAAGAGAGAAGAGACATAATGCGCACGGTCAAGAGAATGACCAAAGAGCTTCCTGTTGACCTAATGGGATTTATCTTCTGATAAATGGCTCAGTTGCTATTGAACAACTGCATGCCAAAATAGTGCAGGTTAATGTCCTAATATCAACAGCTAAGTATTGTAACATGTGCAACAAACATTTTCACATACGAACCAATTCCTTTAATCAGGTGGCAGTTTGGAAGGTCCACAGATTCAATCTCTCTAGACGCTTTAAGCCGATTTCTGTCAAAAAAAAAAAAAGAATATTTGTTTACATATTCCCTTACTTTTCTCAGGAAAGGTTTAGGAAGCTTATAGCAATTCATAAAACAGTATAAATCTAAATCAGATGCAAGGACAGGAAAACAAGAGAAGGAACGTAAACTACCATCAGAATGTCAACAAAAATGCAAATCAAAACTTTTTGCATATGGAATTGAGTTATGAAAGAATGCCAGTAATTCAACACATAAAATTTGCAGTACAAGTTCCTATGCAAATATAAGCACAGCACAGGAGGGACACATTTGTCACAAGTCTAGTGTTGTGAGAAGAGAGCTCCAGATGTGGAGCCAAAAATCCCACCTGCCGTCTCCAGAACCCACAATGAGAAAGGCCTTGGCCAAGAAATGCTGGATTCAGGTGTCTGCAGGGGGCCATCCCTGCACTAATGCACTCTGCATTTTCTCGAAATGAAGAGATGGCCGGTGCTGTCCTGGCAGAAGCAGGCTTTGGCAGGTCAGTTACTCTCTATACACCTCAGGCTTCTCCACGTGTAAAATGAGTTTGAATCCATAGGCCCTGAAAGGGTCTAGGAATGGTGTTCCACTCCAGAAACAGATGTAGATGCAAATCAGCAGGTCACAGCTGTGGTTTCTATGCCAGGTCTCAGCACCATGTGCTGAGTTGGGTTCAAGTTTATGTAACTTGCTATTATGACTGTTTGGCTCCATATAGTTAGGAAAAATAGAGGACCATCGTCTACCTTTTTCATCAACAAACTATATGAACTAAATAAAATCTGTCCAAAGCAATACACACAGATGGGTTTGAGCAGTTTTAAGTTAGGCATAGTATTTGTTTTAGGGTCAACTCAGTGTTGCAGAAATGACTGATTAATTATGCTTTGCTGAACACGGCAGTCTACCTCAACTTGTTTAGTTGTACATTTGTTATTATCTCTGGATCTGTCAATTACCTGCTGGCAAAAGTGAAGTTACAGAAGGACTATGTGTGAATTCTGGTGAGTCAAATCATTTTTTTTTTCTTTTTAGTTTCTCTTTAAGACAAAAGAAAGAAAAAAATATTCTGCTTCTATACTTTGTGAAGACTACATCAAGAATTCCACATTTTCCTTCCGTAAATGACTGTTATACTTTTCCACTGGTAGAATTATCAGCTCCCCACTCAGGAGTGAACTTCTGTGATGCAGTGATCCGGAGCCTACCAGCCAATCAAATCAGAGCCATTTCTGCCCCATCGCTTCCTTGCTCTTCCATGGGCCATGCCAGGAATTCAGTTTCCCAGTCTCTGTTGCATTTACAAGTAATTCTGTGGTCCAAGTTTTTGGAAAAGGCATTTTTGTTCCTGATAGGGGCATGCTTGAGATGACAACAGTCATACTGCATCTTTGATAAGGGTCCAAGGTCCACCACAAACCACCAAGGTGTGAAAACACAGGAAGAGGCCCATTTCCTCCTGCAACCACTCACTCAGCCTCCTGAGGAGGCTCACGTTGGCCCACTGACCAGGAGTTGTGCCATGTAAAATGAAGTCAAATTCTATGTGGAAAAGCCTCCACTCATTGGATAAATGCTAGTTATAACTGAAACATTCTAACCAATGTCAGACTTGTGAAGTTTGGGGAATCTAGGAGAGATCTTTAATTTACAAAAATATAAGCTTTAAAAGTATTTACGTAAAAAAGCCTAGGATGAATGGAACAAACAAACAAATAAGGTATGAGAGGAGGAAAATCTTGCTTTCACTATGGCCTATCTGCTCCCTGATAACTTCAAGTTCAGAGTATGTTTATGAGTGTACCAGGTCAGAGCCGGCATGCTTGTTGACACTCTGTGATCACGCAGACATCAATAATCACTCACAGCACTCTGTCCTGTCATCCCCACAGCATCCCAGGATATGTTCTAGCAAGCACTCATATTCAAAAGCAAACACATCTAACTTTTCTGTTAATGGGCTCTTCTTATTCTCTCTCTCAACTGCAACTCAGTCATTTTGTCAACAGTAAGATGCCTATAATGCTGAGAGATATACACCCAACCTGTGAGTCTCCACCTTGCCTCCAGGAGAGTGAGCCATGGTGCCCACATGCCTCGGGCAAAGGCAGAACGCACAGTTGCTAGCAGGCATTGCTTCATGTGCCAATCTCACGTCTTTGGAGTTCATGAAGTCACAGGGCTTTATCATCTGCACACAGGCTCATCCGCACACAACAGCCTTTTCCTGTCTGTGCAAAACCTCATACATCTCACCCCTTGGGCCCCTTCAACGCTTGCACCGAGCACCCAAGAATCTGAGCACGGGTACGTCAACCTGGGGCAGAGCTGTTTCCATGGCAGAGAAGCTGGGGGGCTATGGTGACCTGCAGGAATTGAATTTGGAATCACCAGATTTGACCTAGAGTGCACATTTTGCACCAGTTTGCTACATGTTGAACTAACTAGCTACTATATTCAAATCTTGGTTTGAGGTATACAACACAGGAAGGCATGCTAAATGAAGGCATAAAGTTAAGAGGTCTTTCTCCCCAAACGTCAGTGAATATACAGGCTGATTTAACATACAGGACTGGATCCTTTTCATACATAGTGGTCGCACACTAAATGACAAGGAGGACGGTAGCAAATAAAGAAAGCTGCTCCTTCAGATGTATTCTAAAGAGACAGGCCGAGTCCCTGGCAGCAACGCCGCAACGCGTGTCAGTATGAAGTGTGACGCTCAGATGCTCATTTGGAGCATCTGCCCACTCTCAGATCTGGGATGCTCTTGAGTTTCATGATTCATCCACGCCTGCACACTTCACAAGAAGGAGCAACTGGCCGGGGCGCATCTGTGCATTTTCTACTCTGCTGCTCAACTAGGGAGCAGTGAAAAGACACGTGTGAAATGCTATCCACCTCTGGGAACCTCAGATGGTTCCAGTTCAAAGGAAAAAGATAACCTGGATTGCATGTATCCATCTGGGACATACTTACACTACAAACTACCCAGTGTTTATCTGAAATTCGAGTTGAAATCCAAGTGGGCATATGGAGAAGAGAAATAACTTGATTTGCCAAAATACCATGCTACACACTTGAGCATGCTACCAAACTCTGCAAACGGAAGGCACGCCTTATTTCACAATCTTAAGGTGGTCAGATCAAACACAGTGTTTGCAGAGGAGGGGTCACGTGACAAGCCCAAAAGCAGAGTCTGTGGGCCCAACCCAACCCTCTCTCAGAGCTACTTACCAAGGGAATGTCTCTTCCATGTTCCCACAGCCTGGGCACCTCCTCTACACCGTCCCTAAACACCATGATTACGTTGTTCCCACTATGTTAGTGTCATTAACATAAGGCTTTGCCGTTTAAACTATTAAGCACAGCATGAGTTTGGAAGCCACATCCTATTCAAACCACTCCAACCTCTGCAGTGTTACAGCTAGACAGGAAGACAAAGTTCAGAGCTCTACTGCATGATTAATAATGTGCACTTCGGAAGATGAGAAATTTCTCACCGTAAGAGACTAATCAATGTTTAAGGCGATGGATGCACGAATCGCCCTGATTTGTATACAATGTGAATATATATCAAAACATAGTTCACAAGCATGAACACGCATGAACAAGCATGAACACGCATGAACAAGCATGAACAAGTATTATGTGCCACTCACAAATGAAACAAAAGTCATGCATGTTCTGCGAAGCAGAATGGGCTTTCATGCACCGTAATTAAGGCCCAGCTCCTTTCCCAATCCTTACCTTTGTCCCCACCCTCACCTCACTCCCACAACACACACACCATCCTTGCCTCACTGTGTAAGGATAAGAAGCTGCAGCCATGGGACAGGGGAGCTCATGCCTTCCCTGGTGTCACTTCTGACCTCCAGACCTGGGGCTGCTTCTCTTCTTTCTGAACTCTGCAGCCTCTTAACCAGCTTCCCTGTGGCTACTCTCCTCTACGATTGCTCAGTCCTGATTCACAGAAGAATCACTAGAATTTAAAAAAAAAAATGAAAAGAACTGAGCCTGGCACAGTAGCCTAGTAGCTAAAGTCCTTGCCTCATATGTGGTAGGATCCCATATGGGTGCTGGTTCACGTCCTGGCTGCTCCACTTCTCATCCAGCTCCCTGCTTGTGGCCCAGGAAAGCAGTAGAGAATGGCCCAAGGCATAGGGACCCTGCACCCATGTGGGACACCTGGTTCCTGGCTTCGAATCAGCTCAGTTCCGGCCGTTGTGGCTACTTGGGAGAGTGAATCATCGGAAGGAAGATCTTCCTCTTTCACTCCACCTCTCTTGTATATCTGACTTTCCAATCAAAATAAATAAATCTTCAAAAACTAAACAATGAAGAGACCCAAAGCTTAGGCTCCAGCCTAATGGAATCAGGATCCTGCGTGTGTCTGCAGCCTCAGCCCTGCAGGAGATCCTAAGATGGCAGGATTGCCCTACTCTCCACTGTCCTTGCAAGCTCCCCTGTAGGAAACACGGCTGGTTGTCGCACGGGCTTGCTGAAAAACAAAACAACCTCCCTTTGGCCCAGCAAAATAGGACTTAGTCAGCCAACCTACATTTACATTCCCCAGATCCATACCTCCCCCTTTACTGTTCTTAGGACACTTTATACTCATTTCAATGGGGTTCACTCAGGAACCTCCAAACTCCTGAGTCCCTTGTGTCTTCCTGCACTACCTCTTTGGGCTGGCTTCTTTCCTCCACCTTCCAGATCAATGTTAAATGTCTCCCTCCATGAAGAACTCCACCTGCCCGGGCTGTATGGTTTCCTCTGCGCTTGCCCTAGCCATCCCCATTCATAACAGAACTTCAAATTGGTCAAGCACAAACAGATTTAAAAGACAATGCCCATTTCCTCTCATTGTTCTGAAGTGTCCCAGGATGCTGATTGCACTACTCTTCTCCCCTGTAACGGGGTCAAGGCCACCAAGGGCCTTCCTCTAAGAGCTACTGGGAGTTCCTCGGAATATCTACCCACCAAATGCTCAGTATATTGGAACTCTTTTGCATGAGCTGTGTACAGTTTGAGCTGCCAATTCAGCAGCAACTTCCCATCACAGGGCAAGTATGAGGTGGAGCGGTGGCCTCTATCATTTGGCACATTGCAGCATCTGGGTGCCCAGGTGCTGTAAGGTCAGTCCCTGGGTGCCCCAAGTGCCTTTGATCTATTGTACGCATCAGACAGGGCTCCAGTTTGTTAACCAAACAAGGGAAGAGTGGAGGGCGACTCTGAAACACAGAGGGGTGATCCCCATGACCTGCCTCAAGTCGAGGGAATTAAAATTTCCATGCACGACTCATCAAGTTACCAGGTATGCACAGCCAAGTCAGTCTGGCCGGAGAAGAACTTCACAAAGTTTCTAGATGACGTCACCATCCGGTCCAAACTTTACTGGGCAGGCTGGGAACAGGCGTGGGGGGAGGGGTCCAGACAGCCTAGTCCTCTGCCCGCCCCCGCCCTAGTCCAGTTCCCGGGTCCCTTTGGGGGCCCTTCCCGGTTCCCACAGCCCGGAGCTCCACCTACCGCAGCGCCAGGAACCTCTCGCCCAGCAGCGCCAGCGCGATCCCCACCAAGCCCACGGCCACCAGCCGCCCCATGGCGCGGAGCCGGGCCGCCTCGCTCGGGCCTGACCAGGCAGCACCGTGGGCGGCGCCGGGTCGCGCTCCGCCCCGCTCCCTGCCGAGGCGGGCCCTGCGCCGGGGCCTGCGAGGCTCCGCCCTGGGCTCTGGCCGGCGCGGAGTCCCGGCTGGCCGGCTTCCCACCCCCTCACGACAGCCGTGCGGGACCCGGACGCTCTCCCACGGCCTGCGGTAGGCTCAGGGTCGTGCTCTCCTCCGCCCGGTCTGTGCCTCCCACTCCCACACTGCCCACTCTCACGGCAAGCTCTGTGCACCCTTTGTTTTCCCCGAGTCCAGCAACAAACTCCCGTCTTTTACATCAAAGGGGAAAGGTGCTGGGAAAGGTGTCTTGCAAAAAGAAAAATTACTTGGAGCCCCCACTTTGTATAATAAAATACAGAAGGGAAGCTGAACAATGGTGTGTGGAAACCCTGAGTGCCCGGGCCTGCAGACTCCACACTTGGTTCTTATCCAAACACAACCTTTGGGGGTTAGGGTAGATTTCTTCCCTTCCTTCCCGCCATCCTTCTCTCCCTCTCTTCCTCCTTTCCTCCCTCCCACCCTTCTTTCCTTGTACTTCCTCCTCGGAATTTAGAGAAGGGGCAGCAGAAGGCCTGGGACGACTGCCTCAACTTCTCTTTCAGGCCTGCACCCTGTTTCAAGGATTCCTAGGTAGTGCCTTGGCCGGGGCGACAGGAAGCCCGTGACAGCTTCCTATGTGTGTCACAGAAGGGGAACCTATAGATTTTAAGAAAGAATCCCCAGTTGGCTGTTGTGCAGCTGCTAAGCTCCAGGAGGTAGGGGTGGGGTGGGGTCAGGTGGAGGTGATGTGCTTAACCTTTTTACCCGATTGCAGCTGAAATTAATCAGTGGAGACTCAGGAGAGTAAACACCCAGCTCTTGGGCTGATTAGCTCACTGTTCCTTGCCCACAGCAGACCCCACGGACAAGTTAGGGTCACCTCTCCCAGCAAGCCTGGACTTCTCAAAGAGAAGGGCAGGGAAAAGCCCCGGGCTGGACTCAGACAGCTGGCAGCAGGAGCTGCAGGCGGGTTGCCATCTTCGTGGTCTTCGTGCTAGAGAACCAAGCTTGTTGGAGAAGCTTTCGCATGGAAAACCAGGGCTTTCAAGTGCGGCGAGACCCAGCCTTGCTCCCCAGAAGCCTCACGGAACCCACATTCACGTGATGCAGACACACCGGTGAGTGCCCGTTCCACTCGCTAGGAGGGGCAGACCCCCTTGGCCCATCTGCCTCCGTAGTGTGGTTGAGGCCGGTTCTGCACACCTCCCACACCCCGCTCTTCACGGCTGCCACGCCTGAGCTCAGAATCCTCAGGGTGGATGGAGAAGAGAGGGTGTTCTGACTTGGAAATCGGAAACCTGCGTTCTCCCTTGTAGGAACGCTACATTGACAAGGAATCTGCCTGGTAGAGCTGGGCTGCCCTTTGATAGACCCAGGACTTACAGGCTTTGTCAAGAACGCCATTCCTGCTTTATGTTTTGTCCGTGGGGGTATTTCTGAGTGTTTTCTGAGTTCCAATAAGGAGGGACTAAACACAAACAAGCTTGTTGTGAAACGCAGTCATGGGCAGCCAGCTCCTTGCTGTAAACCTGGGCTTCTCCAGTCCCAACTTGTGTCTTGCTTGTCATTAGAAATTTAAAGTTTCTTTAGAAAAATCTGAAAAATAGTAACACCCTAGCCCATCAGTGCTTCACTGACTCTAGTTAAAGGCAGGCTTTTCCCCTTGTTTTGTAAAAATAAAAAACAATGAAAAGAAATGATTGAAAAAATGAAGGTGAAAAAGATCAGATATCTAACTATAAGCTCCAATTTTTCATGATTCGATCTAATCAACATAAAATTACTTTGTCAGATTTCTCTAAATACTCTCAATTTTTCATATTTCTGCCACCGCAGACCAGAAAAAAAGAGTTCCTAGCCCAGAAGTGGTCGTTGGAGAACGCTGGCTTTCACGGTTTTGCTTGTAGCTCTCGAAAGTTCTTTGCGATGTTTTATCACATGCAATTTTCAGGAGTAGTTTGGGAAATAGGTAACTCATAATTACTGTTATTTTATATAAGATGAGGAACCGAGCTCTCCAGGTCGCTTTTATTTCACTTCTTTCTCAGCTGTTTTAAAAAGATGATGATTACCAACAAGAGAAAGATTAGCGTTGTAGATGCTCCACTACGGGTGCCTCCGACAGAAGCAGACCTGGTTGCAGTCAGAACATTTTCTGAGCATTCCAATGTAGCAAAAGCAAAGCCACGTTGTTAACAGAAACATCAAGGGGCTTATGTGTTTCTTTAGCACTTGTGTCAACCAATTGATGTCTTCAAGTATTAAGTTGAACCCTAGAAACTTGTTATTTATTGAAAATCACAAAGATGAAATGTCATGTGTTAGTCAAAAACAAGTATATGACTTGAAAAACAATTTGCTCTGGTTTTACCGTAGGAAGAATGTTCCATTCTGGAACTCAATTTTAAATGAATGAATTGTTTTCAGTTGTGTCGGTGTGTCTTTATGATGATTGGGTGAAACGAATTCTGAGGGAAAGCTGTAAGTCAATATTGAAGGCTCCTGGTGATCTTGAAGTGTAGTTTAGATGGCCGCCCCTGTCCAGAGGAGACCCCCGTTTGTCCACTCAGGAGCCCTTGGTAAGAACGACTCACAGGCCAAGGTGGGTGGGGGAGGGCAAGAGAGAGGGAGAGAGGAGAGAGAGAGAGAGAGAGAGAGAGAGAGAGAAGTGGGGTGATGGAAGGAGAGCTGAAGAGACAAAAACTCCCCAACTTCCATCTAAGGCTGACTTCATGCACGTGAGAGAAGAGAAAAGGTGGATTTTATTTCATTCTAGGAAATATACGTGAGTTTTCTCTTGTTCAGTGCAGCATTGTTTGTGGTTTTCTAGTCATGAGAGCCACAGGTACATTTCAGAAAGGGTCGGTGGTAGCACCAACCAGAGTCTTCACTAACAAAGTGCTCCCTAATCTCATTGAAACTCCAGTGAAGTGCTCAGGGTGGAACTGAGACCAGAGGTTAAGTATCAGAGTAAGGCACATGGGCAAATGCTGAGCCAGCATCCAATAGAAGACAGTTTATTCTTGGACCCTATTCTACTTTTGATACATATTTTATTAATTATCAAAACAATAAGATTTCCATTCTTTATTATCCGTAGGAAGAGTAGAGGTGAATGAAATGATAGTCAAAGTGGCAGAAAATGATCTCGTGTAAATATGTATATGAGACAGCCTGAAACTAGGATGCTTTTTGTGCTTTTCGTCCGCCTGCTCGCTTGAATTCAGCAGATGCTTTCCGTGCTGTGTGTCTCCAAGCAGGCGGTTCAGAGGGAGAGGAGACGGCCATTTCCGGCCGTGGTTGTGGTGGGTGGTGAGAAATGCAGCTGGGTCAACACACAATGTCATGTGTCATGGGATGCGACCTTTGCCCTTCTCCTGTATGATTTTTAAGGAAGAGGGAATGTTTGGGTTTTGCAGAAGTTACTCTGATGGCAGTGGGGAACAGAGGCCAAGTCTGTGTAACCCAAGCTGATGTGTATAGGCCAATTTGATTGGAGCATACAGTTGTGTCCAAGGCAGAGACAGTGTGGGGCGGGGAGGGGATAAGGAAAAACAGAGTTAAGGACTTTTAGGAGTTCACGGACGTGGCTGGATGGCCACCATGGGACAGAGGATGAATTGAGATAATTTGGACTATTCAGATGGATGAATGATGTTCCTGTGACTGAGACCAGGAAGAAAGAAGTGGGGGCGACACAGCACATCTGATGGGGTCGAAGCCCAGGAGCTAATTGGCAGCGAGTTTCTGATCATCAGAGTCAAGTTGGGTCAGGAGAGAGAAACTTGAGAATCATTGGCAGGGAGTGCGGCAAGCCAAGCCCATGATCTCAGGGAGGGCAGAAGCTGCTGCGGAAAGTGAAGTGAAAGACATGGAAGTCAGAGGCTTCCTGGTGTGTGAAGTAGCCGGGAGGCTAGTTAAAGATGGAGGGGAAAGGAGAGCTGGGAGCCTAACCGGTGCTTGGGACTACCTTCAACCAGAGGGAACAGATCCAGATGAGGCGGTCCTTCTTCCTCTCCCCTCAGACTAGAGGGTGTGGCCTTGAAATTCTGTGTCCCGTGATGCTGCGGGCAGCCATTCGCTGTTCCCCTCCCTACACAGAGACTGGGAACCGCTTGGCAAAAGGGGGCTGCAGAGGCAGCCAGAAAGAACTCTCCAGGGTTGCCTGGGAGAGACATCTCCACAGGAGAGATGAGAGACGCTTGCTGTTGGCAAGAACTCTTCCTTCTGAATGCCTCTGCCTCCTTCTCACTGTGTCGCGTCAGCAGACTCCCTAAAGCCTATTTCTAGAGTGGCAAAGAATAAATGAATGAGTGAAAGTCCTGTGCTCCCTGGTAACCTGCATGCTCCAGGTCTCTCACTGCCGAGTCCTGTCAGAGGACAACATTGCGATGGCTTAGCTTAAGCATCTGGATTGATGGCATTTGAGATTCTAGAATCTGGCAAGACTTCATTTCATAGGTGTTCCTGTGAGCCAAGTAGAGACTGGAAGTGAAGACAAAAAAAAAAAGTCGATTGTTTCCTTTTTAATTTTTATTGTGTTACTTTTCTTCTACAGCAGTAGTGGGGACACAGCAATGGGAAGATATTTGTCTAGCAAGACTGAGGCAGAGGGGTTTTTGTTATCTTGCCGGCTGAAATGAGCCGGTTAGAGAAATTTGGCTGTTATTTCCCCAATCCTGATTTCAGATAAACAGGCCAGTCAGTGACTTGTAATATTGTTGTGAGCTTATTCTGTCTTGGGTTTTGCCTGTTTTGGGGTCTAGCAGAGTAGCTTAGCAGAAAACAATCCCCTCTGTCCTTTCTGTTTAACAGTACTTTCCCGGCTCACGGTTCACTCTCTCAGATTCTTTGTGTCCTCTGAAATTCATGCTTATGGACAAAATTTCTTTTTTTTCCCGTCCAACATCTTAAATAA